GGTCTAATGAAAAATCTATTATAGTTTCTCAAAATAGCAACGCGCCAGCGGTCCGCCTCAGAACGCCTTCCTTTTTAGACCAGAACGCCTATGGGCGCACAAATGAGCGCTAATGTATTTGCTATTTAAACAGCGTAGCGCAACGTCTCAAAACCACTCCTGCGCCAAACTGAAACTACCAAAAGACTTTTGCACCGCGTCTTGCGCCACACTGCGCCGGGTGTATGATAGGGCCCAAAATATGTTTTAACTTCGATGTTTAGAAATTAATATTTTCAAAAACTGACTGCAGAACACTGAAAATCTAAATTATTATTTAAAATTTTTTCAGAAACCTTACTAGACCTTAATATTGCTACTTTAGAGATGAGACCTTTTATCAACGTTTACATTTTAAATATGGCAAGAGGAGTGGGTCGTATTAGAAAATTATAAATTGTATGAAATCTCAAACAGAATTTTAAGACATTTTAAGACTATTTGATAAAGTGTTTTTTACCAGATGTCCTATTTCAATGTACAAGTTTAATCCATGCCTTTTTACTTAACCTCTTAAGGCCCAAAGTGTTTTTTTACATGCATTTTTTTATTTCTCTTTGCTAATTGGGCTTATTGGAACCTAATTAGAATAAAACCTAAGTATCATCTTTTAAAATAATGTATTTTAAGAGGAAAAAGATGTCCATATACGTGGAATCGTGGTGCGAATTTACATAAAACACTTCTTCCTGACTGTTTTTTAATGCATATATAACATATAATCTTTTTTGAACATGTTTTGACTTTCAGAGAGTTAAAAACAACATTTTTTGCCCTCTTTGGACAGTGAAAAGTGGTGTTTGGGAGATTTCATATGCTGCAAAACAGTTGCAGGATGACTCTGTATGTCTGTAACAAAATATAAAACATTCAAAATATTTCAAATGGCCACTTAAGATCTAAAATGTGCTGTCCAAGTATGTGGCCACTAAGCCCTAGGAGGTTAAAGATGAAGACCTCACTCGTTTGTACTGCACAACTCCCCTTACTGTAAAACACATTTTACTGGACTGTCTTGGTATTAATGATTCCAGTAGACTTTTTAAAATGAAATGAACTCTTTTAAGGACATTTTTAACCAGGAAAAAATGAAGAATTGTTACCACATATTAACACTAAAAACTTATTTAATTTATGTATTCATTTGTTTGTTGTTTTTAAAATTGTATATTCATTATTGAAATGTTCTTGCTATGAAAATAGCCTTGGTTGCTGACATGGCAATAAATAAAAAATACATTTATACCAGATTTATTTTATACCAAAATGAATATTGACATTTTGCTAAAATCAAAACCTAATAAATCCGGTATATCCAAAGAAACTTTTAATTTTGGTGTAGGTGTGAAGAGACCCTCCTAATATAAATATATAAATATATATAAATATATAAATAATGCTATATAAATACACACATTACATTTTTTTTAATTAGTCTATAAATGTATCTTTGCTGTTAAAATTTTATCTGATATGTTTTTGATATGACATTATAATTTAGTTAACCCAAAATTGACTGTTCATTAATGACTGGCTGTTTTTTTTCTTAAACAACTGTGTCGAAAGAAGAATCCCATCGTCACACATGACTTGACTACAAATTGACCTGAAGTCAATTGAATGTGTTTGGATCATGCTAGAGTAAACCTGACAGGGTAGTTCTCCTCAGGGTCAGATAGATCTCTGGCCAAAAGGTAATGCAGCTTTTGATAGACATAATTTTGACTCTCTATAAGATTGTTGAAACAATGGCATGATGAACAGACACCATAAACAAAGCAAAGTATGGTCCAACTTAAAAAATAAAAGAAGCATATAAGAGTGCACAAATAAACACTGTGATGTACAATATTATTTTAACATTGACAAGATTGTTCACCAATTATTAAAATTAGCAAAAAAATATATATTTTTTTTATTATTTAAAATAATAGCTTTGTATATAAAAGGTGCACTAAGAGACATTTGACAAAAGATGCTGACCTAACAAGACCTTGCCTCTTGATATCTCTGCTATCGTTGTTAAACACGCTTCTTACTGCTAATTTGCTGAAAGGATGGTCAGAAATGGTTTTCATATAAATTACATTTTCTTCATATAAATTAAAATATTATTCATTTTTGTAATGACAAAGCAGTCCCAGTCCTGTTCTCGAGTGTCATGCCATCCTTTTGAATATGCTAATTTTGTTTAAGTTTATATAATTATGAACTATGAAAAAAGTACTGCTTATTAATTTATGGAAAATGAACATTTCAATGAGTGCAACATATATAAAATATATAGAAAATTTTCCTCTTTCTGAATGTTACCAATTAAAGTAAATTCCATCACATTTTACTGACAGTCAGTTTTTTTCCTTCACTAAAGGACAAGCTGTTCTTTACATTATTGTCATATCAAGTTATAGAACATGAACATTTGGTTTTATACAAAACGTGTGGAGTTCATCCGGCTAAATATCCTCTATTAATAGCATAGAGCGGTGATAAATTATGTTTGGCATGATCGTGGATGAACAACTCTACTTTAATCCTGCACTCTTTCATTTTACACGTCAGCGGTGAACTCACGAAGCGACCTCTCATCACTTTACTGGTATATGTTTCCCATTACAGCACCAGGTTTGAGCAGAGACTAAAGTAACCAGTGATACAAGAAACAAATGTTATAAATACACTAAAGAACAGATGTAGCGATTAAACAGTGGGAAAAATAAGTATTGAATACATACTTCCAAAAGAGCTGTTGACATGGAATTGAAATATTTAAAAAAAAAACCAAACAATGCAAACATAAAAATAAAACAAAACAAAAGAAATCTGAGAAAATAGTTGTAATTATGTAATAACAATGAAATAACATAAGGAGAAAGTACTGAACTACTGAAACATATTTAATACTTTATATAAAAGGCTTTTTTGGTGATGGCAGCTTAAAGACAACTCTCATGTGGAGAATGAAGTCACATGAATTGCTTAGGTTTCATAGACTTCAACAGCCTATAAAAACCTTGATGATTCTGTGGGTTTCTTCTATCAAATCTGAGCTTTATTTTGTATTTTTATTATTATATTCAAGTCAGGTGACTGGCTGGGCCCTTCTACAGTTTGATTTTCTTTTAAAGCATTTGAGAGTTTCCTTGGCTGTGTTTTGAATCATTGTCTTGCTAAAATGTCCACCCTGGTTTTATCTTCATCACCCTGCTAATGTAGATGTTGGACTGAAGCAGCGAGTATTAATTTAGACTGACAAAGGGTAGAGGGTTGTTGAATGACTTATGAAAGATTTCAGTTGCAGTCTGGGCTTTCATTACCTTTCTATGGCTTCCTTTCTTCATGTGTTCAATATTGTTTCCAGTGTCATTTCAATTTATTACACATAACTCAATTTGTAAACTAATTAGATTTGTTTTATTTGCATGTATGGATTTATTTGGTTGTTACCAACATCATTGACACCTTTAGAAATATGTTTTCTGGTGACAGATTTAATACTTATTTTCCCCACTGTATAATATGTACGCACTGTGACTTGCTTAACATTGTGTGAAATTCATTTTTTTACTCATGTTAAGATGAACAAATATTTTGCATCGTGTTATCTTCCTAGAGAGCATTTAAACAATCAGTAAGCAGAGGACAGAATGACTAGAGGTGGAGACATCTAGATTGACTTATTACACCTAGTTTGATTGAAGTGGGTTTGCAATGATATTAAATGCAAGCAGACTAAATGTATAATTACACACTGTATTGATGTATGCATAAAAGGCAGCATGGAAGCTTCATCCAAATGTGACTTATTAAACCCAAATACAATGCTGTAGATATGACATGATGAATATAGAAACTCAAGCTACTTATATATGAAACTAAAAAAATTAAATGTAACATATACTGTCTAAAAGTAATATTTAAATACTGTCTAAAAGTAATATTTACAACTAAGAAATTATAAGAGAAGTAATATAATAATGTGATCTCAGTTTACCATGATAAGAACCATTATTCAATTGATACCGGTTTCATCATACATTTTATTAAGTTTGTGAATTTCATATTCACAAATATAGTAATATTACAAGTGCTTGAGGAGATTAAAATGTTAATCTGAATGAATCTAAATCTACAAACTACTAACGTTATTAAAACAGTTGTGCATGTAAGAGTTTTATAAAATAAAATGGTTCATGTGCTTAATTTAAAATCAATATAAATGCATATCTTTGAATTATTTAAATTAACTGATGCTTTTTTTATCCTCTCTCTGTAACATTATGGAAATTATTCAAAATAGTAGAGTAAAAATCAAGTAGACAGAAAAGAATTTGACTGATTTTTCTCATTAAAGCATAGTTTGTTGAGGGCTTTCTGAGGGACATGCCACACAAAGGTCAAATCAGCAGAAGGAATGTAATACATCTGAAACAAGTGTTCACCAATGGTCTGCAGTACTCGCTTTCAAATTGTGCGATGTTTCGATGCCCATTTTCATCTAGAAAATAACTGAAACACTTATCTTTCCTGTAATCCTGCCTGCGTGGATTAATGCTACATCTAGCAATTCTGTGATATAATATTACAGAGACACTGGGCAACAAGCCAGTTCTGTTTAAATATAGAGTGGGAATTCATTTGAGACTTACAGACTGAAATAAACAAATAGAACATAACAAATAAGTGTTTTTTCCACACAAGGATTCAGATGGATTTAGGCTCCAGACTACATATAATGAATTATTTGTTGTATTGTCTTTTTTTTTTAACTCTATCATAAATATCACAGCAGCAAAAAATATGAAAAATGTCTTAATGTATTAAAAGCTGGGTTTGTGTTTGTCAGTAAGTTTTATTCTTTTTCTAATATCGCCATCTAGTGGACGACTTAAAATATACTGCAACTAGATAAACAGTGTAAACTAATGCAGTATTTTTGAGTAAAGTAAGACATTACTTACACTCCTCCAAGCCCAACTGGTAAGCCAGATTCTGCAGACCCTTCACCTTTTCCATCAGATTTGCTGTGGTCAAACTTCCTAATTCTAAAAAAAAAAAGCCACAACAAACAAGTTACAAAAAATAAAATAAAAATGGACCAGAACTGAAACAAAATATTATACTGTAGCTTTTATAAATTCCAGGGTTTCTGCAGGTTCACTAAGTTAAATTTAAGACTTTAAGACATTTTCAAGACCCTTATGAATGAAATTTTAGACTCATAAAGGACTAATTGCTAAGGAATTTTTCATAAGGCCCAGATGGAAAAGATTTTTTTATTTGCCCCATCAAAAAACTATTATAAATTAATAATACAATAATAATTTAATAATAAAAAATAAATATTTTAGATATGTTTTAGAAAAATATTCAAATATTGTTTAAAAACAAACAAGCTCTACTTGTATACATACACTTTATTTTTCCAACATAAACTTTCTTTAAAATAAAAAATGAACTAATGTTTTTAAAGTTTTAATATAACTAAATGTATGCAAAACAATCTGTCCAGGTCGGTGTCCTCAGCAGCAAATACATGGAACACTTTTTAACAAATATTATGTATTTTGAGGAAAATAATGAAACTATTATGGTAAACAGAGTTAAAAATCACCTTTTTATATAAAAGGTTTTATTGAGATGAATTGTTGGTGATCGTATAGGACTAATGGCCAGACTGCGTAGCGATACATAAACAAAGGAAAATTAAGACCTAATTTAAAAAAAATTTAATTTAACATTTAGGAACTACAACACAATATTTCAGTAAATTTAAGACATAAAAATGTAATTTTGAGGTTTAAGACATTTTAAGACTTTTTAAGACCGCGCGGACACCCTGGAATTCACCAAGCAACTCATCTAACTATTATTAACCTATTCTACTAAGCAATATATAGAAAGCATAGATAAAAGACTAAATGATACATTAAAAGACTTGATATGAATACTACTTTAAAAAAGGCAGACCTTTCAACATTTCAATATCCTCTGACTCCAGTTCAGCCATCCATTTGGGTGGAGAATTTGTAATAGGCTGAAATAACAAAAACCAAGCCTTAATTTCACATCAACTTTGAAAAGTATTCATTATCATTTGAATATTTACTCACATTTTTAAAGGATGCTGCAAATTCTGACACACCCGGCACTGTTAAAAACAAAGCGTTCAAAAATATGACAATGTGTAATAATCAAATGTAATTTCTATATTTCAATCAGTGCATTTTTTACATATATTTGGAAATATATGTTAATGTGTCATAAATATTAGTCCAACTGAATAAGATTAGAGAGTCAAACTTACACTGCTCTGGCCACAGGTCAGGTGAAGCCCGGTCAAGATTTTCTAAACTTATCAGAGAAGATTCAAAGTCCTCACCTACACATTAAAAAGATAAATGCTCTATGGTCAGAGAAAACTGATCAGCAACAGGATCAATAAACCTGAAGTACAATAAAAAAAATGTTAAATATACACAATTTCAATTTTAACATAACTCAGCTTAGATGACGTTACAAAAAATCGTCTGTCACATATTATTCAAGGTGTAAAATTAAGCTGATGTTATGACAGAGATATTATGTTTACTCAGCTGCTAAGTTACTCAAAGTTGGGCTAGCTGCATTGAGTAATCTTGTCACAAAATAATGAGTTACATAACTAACGTTAAAGATAAAATCACGACACACCAAAAGTAATATGTCTTCGCGTATTTACTACACTATTACATTCGTATTAAATTATTACTACACAACTGATGTCGTCTGACACGTAGCTTTGCTAATGACTGGCTCCAAACAATTTTATGACGCTATTCCGACTGAAAAGCTTATTTTGATTCAGAATCCATCAGTTCTTTATAAAAAATATGCTAAACCGCATAATGATTTATAGGATTTAATTAGTCCGTTGCACTATTGCGTTAACAACTAACGTTGCCAGGGAAAAGAGGAATTAAAATTTACCTCCATTCGGAGACGCCATCTTGACAACAACACACGTGATTCTAAGCAGCCAATCACTGGAGGTCTTGGATAAAATAGCCACACCCTCTTGTGTTGTAAAATGATGTCGCAATAATTGACCGAAAAATACGAATATATATATTATTGACAGCACAAACCTTTTTGTTGACCAAACTCTTCTCAGTTCTATGTCAAACAAAGTGATTCTCTTTATTGTTAACAGTTCTCTGATCTCTTTAATGGTCTTTAATGGCCTTTTCTTGATATTGATCTTGGATGGTATTCGGAAAAAATACATATTTTTATCTAATAAAGCTGTTGAAGTCTCAATCAGAATCATTCATAATTGCTACCCAATAAACAACAAACTAGGTAAATTTAATAACAATATTTCCTTCAAATGCTCATTTTGTACTCAATATGGTGAAACACTAAATCTTTTAGGCCTATTTTGGGAGTGCACTTATTGTAAAGTCATTTGGGTTGACTTTTCCAATTTCACAAAAATTGTATTATTTCCAAACTTTTGTATTTCCCACAAAAAATTATATTCTTTAGATACTTTCTGAATTCTTGTAAATTTATAATTGTTTTTCCCCCCTAAAATTTACATCGATAAATGTAAATTTTCAAAGAAACACCCTACTTTTTTATTTTAAGAAATGACTTTATATGTGAACTCTTTAAAAGACCCTAACAGTTATATTGCATGTAAAACACTTTCTTGGTGTAAATCATTTAAACTCGTTTAATTTGCTGGAATTTTAATTATGTAATCATTTCTGTCTATTTGTTAAACTGTATCTTTGTAAACGTTCCTTCTTGCAAAATAAGAAAAAATCTATATGAATAATATGCAAACATTAATATGTTTAGCTTTCATACAGAGTACTCGAGTAGTATTATGATAGAGTGTTAATATAAGACTCAAGACTCAGTCAGGCCAAAAAACACAGCAGAACAAACTTCTGTACAGCTACAAAAAAGGCAGTAATTATAAATAGACCAAAAATATAAGTCTAGTTTCAGCACATTTTAACGTATCATATCAATATTTTTAACAGGGCGTTCATTTTATTAATTTTAAAACACTAAAGAAACATCGTTCATGCACTGTTGTGTAGCATTACTACTTTGATCAACCCATTTTCAAATGCTTTGTACATAGTATTACACCAAAAGGTCCATTTTAAAGACATTAAAAAAGGGATGGTATTGTAAAACTGGTTGAAGAAATAACTATCAACACCTCTGTACAGATCATGCCTCTAAAAGACAGAAGGTCACTTTATTATACTTGGAAAAATAAAATAATTAGTAAAATTAAGTAAGTAAAATTCAAGTATAAATACAGAGCTCTTACAATGTTGGTGATTAATGAAAAACATATATATTTTCAGTCAATTGAGCCAGAAAATGTGTTGCTATCAAATGCAACACAACCTAAATCCAAATAAATGCACCTGAGTCAGTCTGTTTACAATTTGCATTTAAGGCAATAATTTAAAGACAATATTGCAAACAATTTTTTTATCAACAATTCAAACACGAACTCAACTGAAATTTTCAGGAAAGACTGCTCATTACATTACAGTTTTAAAACAGAAATGCTATTAAACATTCTCAAACTGAAATGATTTAAACACAAACAAAAAGGTTAATGCTTTATACATCAGCATCTTCAAAACTAGAAAGGCACTTCAATGTTTTTTTTATCAATTTATTTCAGTCCAGCTACAGCTGTTTCACAACATCAGATTTTTATGTAAAATACATGACTGTAAAATATCGTAATTTTATACAATACAAAAATACTATTTGAAAATTTTCAACAGCCTAAAATCAGACTAAATGCCGTCCTTCAACACGGAAATGTGAACATGTAACAAATGAAATAGTTTTGAAAACATTTTATCAAGTGAAAACACTTAAAACGTTTGTCTAAAACTCCCAGGATTCCATCCACCTGAGACCGGCCATGGAGGAGGCAGAGTCATGTGCCAGCGGCCCTCTCATGCCATAGGAGAGAGGGTGGAAAAGATAAAAGCTGAAAACAGACGACAGCGGAAATATCAGGTTAAGTATCAATATTAATAATGTATAAAAAAGGACTTACTTTGTAATTAGTTACATATTCTGAAAGACATGAGCCTCTTAAACAACTAAACTTGTAGATACTCACCTGTAGATAAACCCTAAGAGGAGCACCGACTGACCTCCCCTCATCAGGTAATGAGATAAAGATGAGCTAAAGAGAAGCTGCAAATTCTGAAGGAGGATGTCCAGAGTAATACCTTAAATAAAGAAGGTTTAAACTTTATATTTAGATTATCCGTTATTAGATTAAACATTATTAGATGTATTGGATTACGCGTTATAATTATATACATTACTTGTAAAAACCTGACAAATATGTTCAGCAATGCTGCAGACTCACAGTTTGAAATAAAAACACAGCAAGACCACAGAAAACTTTATATATTGTTAGACAAATTATTGGAAATCCAGATAAAAACTGTTAACTGTATTCTGAAAGTAATTTTAAGAGCAACTAAAGAAAATAAAAGGAGGAAATTAGAGCAAACACAATATTCGAAAAGTAAAATAAATAAATAAATTTATATTAATAAGCAGAATTTCAGTGTTTAAAAAGGCTGATTTACAGTGCTTTTAAACTTTACAATAACAAACTATAGAATATCTTTCAGAGTACCTTTTGTTAAATATGATGCTTTTTCTGTGTTGAAAATGTTTTTTTTTATAATTTTTTTAAATGAAAAATGCCAAATTCTTACATCAAGATCAAGGCAAAAAGAGCACATGAGAAGTCTTGTTTTCTGAGGTATTCATTAGTGAAGTCAATTTATGATTACAAAAAGATAAAGAATGAACACAATTCTGTCATTTTATATAAGCATAAAGTCTTTCAAGTATGTTTTATTTCTCAAAAAAAAAAAAAATCCATGTCTTCAGATTAAGGCCTTAATTTGCAGAAGACACATTAAACCTTTTTAAGATCTTATTAAGACCTGTAGTATAATTCTGTGTAATGATTAAGTCTCAAGTTGCAAACTAAGTTTAAAAATGGATTCATATGTGGCTTTGTTGTTGATGCCAGGAAAAAACTACAACAATAATTTAAATTTATTAATATTAATATTATTATTATTATTATTAGTATTAGTAGTAGTAGTAGTAGTAGTAGTAGTATTTAGAGAGAGAGAGAGTTAAAGCACACTTTTAATCCTATTTGTATTGTCCATATTGTTTCATAAGCAGGTCGCACACCAGAAGCGCCGCAACACGGCGCGCACATGACAGATTAAAGTATCGCACACCAGACGCGCACATTTGAATGATATTTAACATAAAAATAATCAGATGGCGCTCTGTGGCGCGGCTGAAAAATGAACTGCGTCCTGAGTCGTGGGCGGGCGCCGCCGACAGCCGCCGACTTGCGGCGCCGGTGTGTGTATCCTGATAGAAACCTATGTTTAGAATTCTAAAATGCATGGCGCTGCGTGGCGTTGCGCGGCGCGCCGCCGAGTGGCGCTTCTGGTGAGCGACCTGCTTTACAATATATTAAACAAGGGCAGGCTCTGCTTTCATTGGTCAGCCCAGTCTCTGTTGTGATTGTGTATATAGACCACTTTGAGGGATGTAAACAATAACAATGGTCCTAATGTATTTCCTGTTTTACATTTTTAATTTCCATAGCTTCCGAGAATCCAAAGGGTCATCAAATTGATAATGTTATGATAGCTGTTTTAACGTGAACATATGATTCAATTGCCTCTTTTTACAGCTATGATATAGTTTAATAACAAGCAGGAAATGTTCAAGGGCCAATGATATCACCACAATGAAATGGTCTATATATTAGAAACCAAGCCAAACCCAATTCAATTTATTGGAACTGTAAACTGTATTTGCTTTCAGAGTGCAGAAAACAGTGTCTTCTTAAAACTTCCACAACACAAACCAAGCCTTCCGAGCCTCAGCTACAACTACAGCAGGGTCAAAACATACATAATTTGTGGGCAGCCAGTGAGGACTACTGATTAACATTATGCAAATTTATTACAGCCTATGTAGGTCTGTCCAGGAAGAAGGACAGAAGCAGTCATTTTTTGAGAGACAAATCACTAGAGACAATATTACACAATACATAAAAAGATAATGTCTAAAACTTAACTGGGCTGGCACACTAATTAATACAACTTTTCACCTCCATAATAAACTAGTAGTAAAAAAAAAGCTTTCCTAAAAATAAGTCTTTACAAAAGTAAGCTGACGTCTCTACAAATCCACTAGTAATTTTTAGTAAAGCTACTTAATTATGAATTTTCAGTGCACAGGTAAGATGTCAGTGTGATAAGAATCTCATCATATTTCCACCAGTTGATAATGTGGTGTGTTAGTCATCATGTTAGCTTTCGTACCTGTTAGCATACTGCTGAACATCATGGCAGGAAAGTAATGATGGTAGTAGAGTATGCGACCCATGATGTAGAATGGGAGATAGTGTAACAGCCAACCCAAAAACAGCATCCCGCCACCCTCCATAAGTGTGTGACAATGCACTGAAACAAAACATCAACTCTTTTAGACCTGATCATTTACTGTAAACAGCACAAACATCTGCATTGCTGCTTACCTTTCATCATTCCCTCCATCTTCACTCTTCTCTGCACGGCTAATGAAGCCACCGTCAGCAGGATTACAAATAGAGCCAGACTTAACAAGTTCAGCCACCAAATGACCTGAGGATGTGATGGGATATTTACTAATGATGGAATAAGAGGTCTTGGAAAATGGAGGACAAAAAAAGGACAGAGACACTTACAGGGTTTCCAAGGAGATAAACACGGTATTCAGTTTCATTCACTCCAGAAAACCTTAATCCCTGTTGTGAATAATAAATAGTGATGTAATGGTACAGAGATATGAGATAAATATGAGATTTTGTCTGTGTGTGGGTGCGTGTGTAAATGAGATAAGTTTTTGTTTAGGTGGCTAGGTAAAATTAAAAAGTATTAAATGTCTAAAACATAAAACAAAATCTACCTAAAATGACAAAAGCACAATAATATTTTTGACAATAAACTTAAACTGATTAAAGATCATTATTAATATTAATAAATGTTGTAATATTGTAACGGTTTATCATAGGGCTGAAACTTATAATCAAAAAAATTATTGACACAAATTGCAGTAATCAACGCTTCGTTAAAAAAAGTAACGCTTCACTTCCTGTCTGTTTAACATTTATTTGATTTGCTAAATATAATTAATAATATAATATAATCCTGAGGATTAACCCCAGGATGCCGGGGTTAAACCTCTTTCTCGAAGGACATCCTGGGATTTTTGGTTTAACGTCTCATGCGAAAGACGGCACTCACTGAGCAGTATTCACCTTATTCTCCGCCGACGAGTGGGCGCTGCCATTTGAATCTTTTTGGCTTGAGACTTCCGGTCTCATTCACCTCCATTCATTTTTTGACGTTAAAAACTGCTCATTACGCTGCTTGATGTTGCAATTTGATATTTTCTTATTATATTATTCTACTTGGTCTGTATAGCCATGCAAGCATTTGTTTGTAGAGCAAGTAGTTTGACTGTTTTCTGCCGTTTATTATTCCAAGTCATTTCTCCCATAGGCGACTGAATTGGAAGTTTTAAGACAATCGCGAAAACAGGAGCACTTCCGCATTTTAGAATAAGGTCAATAGAGTCCCTGTCACTATACTGGGGTATAGGAGCCAAACAGACTGCAGGTTGGGCGCCCCCTGCTGGACTCACTAACACCATTTGAGGCAGCAACCCAGCTTTCCCATGTTAAGTTTATGAAGATGAATTTGTTATTTAACGACATGTCAGCAACAAACGCTATTTTCATGGCAAGAACATTTCAGTAATAAATATACAATTAAAAGCAACAAACAAATGATTACATAAATTTAAAAAGATTTTTATCGTTAATGCATGATAATATTTCTGAAAAAGGTTTCCTGGAATAAAGTTTATTGCAATAAGTGTGTGTGTGTGTGTGTGTATGTGTGTGTATATGTGATTGGCTTTTATAGACTTTTTAAAACCATTTCAGTCACAAGATGTTCAAAGTAAATAAAAAAATGTGTTTGATAAATCGATTATTAATATAATTGATAGCTGAAGCCCTCGTTTATAAATACAATAACACTTTAAAAAAAGAAAAATCACAATATTGATTAATTATATAAATTTTAGTACATCAATAATAATAATTTTAAAATGCTTATACACAACTTACCTGATAGTTAATGGGCCAGTGCCAGGGTTTAGAGTTCATCTCGTTGTCTTTGGGCTTCAAACCACTGTTTCCCTACACAAAAACATTATCAATCTAATATATTGGTTCATTTAAAAGAAGGTGCATTTGATCATTTTTATTCACAAAAAAGAAATGTAAATAGGTTAAATGTTTTAGTATAGGGATTTTAGTTTCCCACACTCCACAACAAAAGGTGGTGATGAGGAGAGATCCCCTCACATGATTGTAAAGCGCTTTAGGTGTATGGCCATACACAATAAATGTGCTATATAAACACATATTACATTACTCTAAATTAAACTGTAAAGGCAACAGAAGAAGAGAAATGCAAGCATAAAACAAAGTAGCCCATATATGTGGCGCTTTGCTCATTCTTGATCTTAACTGCATTATAGAAATCACTTTGGAATTAAAGCATTGCATTTCAGTTTAAAGACTTTTAATCAACTTATATTCTGGAAAATACTGTCATTTAATTCAGAAATCATTCCCATGTGGTAGAACATTTATTAATGGGGAGATTATCTTTAATTAGAAGCAATTCCCACATGAAGAGCAGTTTTTAACAGGCAGATTTTCTTTCAAGAGTCTTACCCTGATCATCACAATATGAGACTCCCAGAGGATCTCCAGGAAAGTGGGTTTGAGTACTGCAAGACTGATGTTGGGCACTGTGCACACAGAAAAATCACCACACCAGCAAATGAACAAAACTGTAATTTTCTACCCATTAAATCAATATTTAAAAAAAAGCTATACAGGCATACGTTTAGGGTTGATGTGGTCCTCAATGTTCCACTGCGAATTTGGGGTCTCTTTGACATACGGGCTGCATGTGACCTCCACTTGCTCCCATCCCCTGTTGAGTAGTAAAATGCACAGTATTTTCTGTGATATATTTATTGCAGACCGGCTGTGAGGTTTTGGCTGAACAAAATAATCTCACCATTTGGGAAGGGTCTTTCCAGAGGAGCAGAGCACACAGCCTGTGGCGCGATGAAGAAAACGCACTTTACTGCGCAGCACCTTCACTGGATCTCCCTTCCTTCCTCCACACACCTCCACCTGCCACAGGTCATTCACGTCACCACTTCCATTCTGAAACCAAAACTCAGAATTACGGAAATGTGTGATGCTCCTTGTAAACAATTGATTAAGATCAAAGTATGAATGAAAGATGCAATTGTGATAGTACAGAGGGCAGCAGTCATGTTTACAAAACACTGAAATAAACTAAACTTCACCTGAGAAAACTGAACTGAAGCAAATTTAATTTACTAGAACTTCTATGTTAAGCTGCTTTGACACAATTTACATTGTAAAAGCACGATAGAAATAAACATGAATTGAATGTTCAATAAACAAAACATTTATTTTCTGCATTTAATTTAAACCTATAACTGACAAACCTTAAAAGACAGACCAGTTGTAAGCTCAGAGGTTGTTTGTGTGTTTATGTTTTTAGTTGCTTCAATCTACTCATTTATAAATCCATCATTTAATAGTAGAGTTTTTGCAGAACATGACATTACTCATGTTTCTATACAGAACATTACACAGATGTGAAAGAAATCTTTAGCTCCACACACTCCAGTGAAGCACAATCGAAGGAATAGTTCACCCCAAAATGACAATTTTTCAGTGAATTTATACACCATGCAACATGTAAGTGATTTTTTGTCTTAAGTAGAACATTAATGAAGATTTTTATCTAAATCTGTGGTCTCAAGTCTGAGGATGAGCAAATTAACTGTACGTTTTCACTTACATTAAACGTGCGTGTATTTAACAATAAGCTTGGAATGTATTGTAATAATAACAATAATAATAAACTTTATTTTTACATATAGCATCTTTAAAAGTAGCATCTCAAGGCACTTTACAGACAAAAAATGTGCAGCAGTAAAAGATACATGCATGAATGCAAAAAACATATATAATAATAATAAAGTTAAAACACATAAAATAATAATAATAGTTATAGAACTAAAATCATATAAAATTCAAATAAAATCAAATAAAATTGTTTCTATAGACAACCAACAGATTTTAATAACTATTTTGATATTTCTCTATTGTTTTACATATGACTGAGTCATTCACAATGCATCAAAGGTTTGTAGTTCCCCCCTCATTAAATCAGTTAGGTACATAGCCTTTTATTTTATTTTTATTGTTGTGATTATTCATTATACCTTTTTGGTTTGGACTACTACTTATAATAATTCCAAAGATTTCCTTATTCTTTTCAGTGTGCTCATGATTAGAGAAAAGCTATAGGAAAAATACCAGAACCAGTGATGTTGAAAAAGTAGGCGGACAGTCATTCAATATATTTTCTTCTTTCCTGTGACGTACAGTATTTATTCAAGTTAAACAGCTTCTCAACATACTTCAACATTCACATCATTCATCAGCATTCTATATCAGTTCGGGGTTGCCAAAGCGGAATGGATTGCCAACTTATCCAGCACATGTTCAGCAACCCATCTATGGGAAACATCCATACACAATCATTCATTATGGACAATTTAGCCTACCCAATTCACCTGTACCGCATGTCTTTGGACTGTGTGGGAAACCGGAGCACCCGGAGGAAACCCAAGCGAACACAGGAAGAACAAGCAAACTCCACACAGAAATGCTAACTGATCCAGCCGAGGCTTGAACCAGCGATCCTCTTGCTGTAAGGCGACAGCACTACCTACTGCACCACTGCGTCGCACTCAACCCTCCCATAAAAAAGTTATTACAAACATTACGATGACAATTTAACAAAAATAGTTTAAATGAATGTAATAAAAGAATTAATAAAAACATATGGCCAAACAATTAACACTAAATACTGTAATGTTGTATAAAAATGGCCCATTTTGATTTCTTGTTATGTACAAAGCACATTGTAGTTTCCCAGTTTCCAAAGACATGTTTTACAGGTGAATTGGGTAGGCTAAATTGCCCGTAGTGTATGTGTGTGAATGAATGTGTATGGATGTTTCCCAGTAATGGGTTGCAGCTGAAAGGGCATCCGCAACATTAAAACACATGCTGGATAAGTTGGCAGTTCATTCCGCTGTGTTCCCCAGATTAATAAAGGGACTAAGCTGAAAAGAAAATGAATGAATGAATGAATGAATGAATTAATTAATTAATATTAATATTAAAATATTTAACTGCCTGATCAGTTCATCATTCCACCTCGGAAGAGTTGTTAAGTACTCGTTTTTTTTCAGAATTGACAAAACCCTATAATATATGAATGGTAACATAATATAGGAATGATATAGTACTCACAATGCCATAACCTGTGACCTGCAGGTGTTTTTTGGTCAGGGGCGCTTCATGGAAATGACTATGAAGATTTCTTGTAGTTCTGATGATGAAAACCAAGTTTGCATTGTTTTAAACAACATGACTTTAGAATTATTTTGTCACTTTCAGAAAGACCTGACACTTACTCTTTATGCTCCAGTCTAATGATGTCACCATGACGGACGAGCTCTGGTGAGCCTGTGAGATCTTAGCAGAGTACAGAGTTATTGACTCAAGTGCAATGTGTGTTTAAAGAAAATTAATCAAATATGCATTAAAAACTCACCGTCAGAGTTGTCAAGTCTCTTGACCAACCACAGGTTGTTATAATCTTTGTGTAAATAGGCAGTAACCTACACAAATTAAGATGCAAAATGGATGTAGATAGGAAAATGATTTATCATTCTTAGAAAAACACAAAAGACATCCTAAAATAATAAAGTCTTAAATGTACATATACACTTCCAAAGAGTTTTTGGATTAGGTCTATTATGATACAAAGACTTAATTTATTTGATCACAAATTAAGATCCAAAATAATCAACAATACAGTTAAAGGTTATTTATGTTGGAGTTATAGATAACTTTTTTCTATTGAAAAAATACTTTAAGATGTAATTAAATAGTATGAAGGGTAATGTCTACATTTTTAGCTCACTCTTACTGCCACAAATTCCAACATTTGTGGACACTAAAGTATGTTCTTGATCTTCTGAAAATTAAAAGGAACAGGAATTGTTTGTAATAGTTTATAACAATATAATCACTATGAAATATATCTGCATTAAAAGTATTTTCACATTTTTTAATTCCAGAAAGAACCTAGGTTCAGACCTGCTTAGCTTCAGTGAGTAACAGGTCTTAGGCTGCAGGGTGATATGACTGTCAAACCCCAATCGTTTTAGAATAAATGTTTAAATCAAGACTGCAATACGTTATAAACATTAAGGTACTCAATAAACATCAGCTCTTTTACATACAACATCATGCTATTATTACATACAACATTAAAATACTGCAATAATAAAAAAAATAGTAAAATATTACAGATAATGTTAGGTTTGATTAAAAAGATAGTTGTATCAAATATGAATTTACTGTCACCATTTACTCACCCCTTACTTGTTTCAAATCTCCATTAGTTTCATTCTTCTGTTAAACAAATAAGAAGATATTATAAAGACATAACCTGAAGCCATGGACTTCCATAGTGTTTGTTTTTCCTACTTGGGAAGTCATGGTTACAGATTCCCAGCTTTCTTTAAAATATATTCTCTTGCGTTCAACAGAAGAGAGAAACTCAGAACGTTTTGGAACCACTTGAAAGTGAGTAAATAATGAGTAAATTCGATTTTTGGGGGGTGAACTATCCCCTTAAGAGCAGATGAGAGTGAACTGACCTGCTGCTGGTGAGCTCCAACCCCCTCCGGGTAAAGGTGCCAGTGAGAGTGCAAATATCCTCCTGCAATTCGCAGATTTTTAACTGTTATGACTGAGCCATATGCCAGATCTGTGTGAAAGGAGGCATAAAAGCCCAGTGTCAAACATGGAATCTTTAACAAAATCCAAACTTTAAAAAAAATGAAGTTGTTTTTTACACTCTGGCATGGAGGCGTTGTGTAGATTGTTTCCAATCAAGCGAGACTGAAACGCAGAGCTGAAGAAACCATCTCCGGGACCACTGTGAATTGAAAAAAAACATCAATGCTTTCTTATAATTAACCAACTAGCTGTTTTGACAATAAAACAAGAGATTAGGTCAAACTTACCTCCTGTTTAAGACAATGAAATGAATGGCGAATATTGTCGTGTACAAGAACAACGGAAGCATTATCAACCCAAAAACTCGAGCTAGTAAGTGCTTCCCAAAATCCACCTGTTGAACAAGAAGTAAATATTTTCACAACTAGAGCATACAGAATCATGGAAATGTGTTGGGACAGAAAGATTTTTTATAATGGCAAAAAACTGAACCTGATTTTTTACATTTATTCATTTCAGCAGATGAGTTATCTAAAGCAAGCTTTTTGGCCTTCATAGAGTATTCAGTATCACTTAATAATATTATATAATATTTTAATAGTCACTTTTAAAATATTTTATTCACACATTTTGTTGAAGTTACATTGCAACTACATGGCAAAGAATTTACATTAGAATATTAGTAAACTGTAAGATTAGGGTTAGTTTAAGTTGACAAGTTTCTTATAGTCTGGAGAATGTCTGTTGGTGGAGCATTGTCAGTAGATATAAAGCTCACAGTCTGCTAATACATTAATCAGAAGTACTTTGCACGGAGTTACAGTATAACTTACAATCAACAAAATGTGCAAAAGGGAAGTAATCCAAAGATTTTTTTCTTCAGTCTGAAGGAAAATACACATGAAGCGCTTCTTTTATCACATTCAATGAATTTGTGCATGTACTATACTGTATATAGTAGTTTCATATATAGTAGTTTTATTGATTCACTTCAAATGTTGACTACCGTATTTAAATAATACACATTTTAAAGGCTAAAATTTGAAACAATAGCATATACATTTAAAGAATAAATTATTAGCACTCCTATGATTTTTAGTTATTTTTCAAATACTTCCCACAACTAGTTTTCAGCCTAATTTTTCAACATGCTAGCTTTAACAACTGATTACTTTTGTCTTTTGCATAATGTCAGTACTAAATGTATATTTTTATAACTAAGACATAAAATTTTATCCAGAAGAAAAATAAAATAGGAAATACTGTTTAAAATGTGTTTGCTCTCCTAAACATCTCTTGGGAAATGTTTGAAAAAGAATTTATATTTCGCATGGGGGGGGGGGGTAACTTTGCCTTTCAACTAGAGTTTTATACCAGAGATAAGCTGAGGTCCCCAAGCAGTCTCCAAAGATCAAGCGCTGTGTTGATTCCAACCAAGAGAATGACAAACAGCCCCACAAACTTTACACCAAGAGACCCAGAGAGGCATAGCCCTGTCAGAAGCAGCCAGAACCACCAGGAGAAGCTGAAAGGCCTGAACACAAGGACAAATATTTGCATTCATGATGCATAAACAGAAATGATAAAGCTATCCACACATCTGTCCACACAACATTACGGCATTTCGAATTATAGGTTGCACTTCCAGTTTGAGGAACTTACACCGAACTTTAGTAAAACATTTTTTTAATATAATAAAGTTGTGCTACAAACAATCTATATGAATAATGAAAGTGAGAGGTGTGTTTATCTTTGTGCTTTTTTTTATCTATTATGAAGTGAATGTTATGCTTAGTATTTTAAAGTAACAATATTATCACAACTGTGGCCAAAGTTCCTCCTGATTATTTTTTCTTTATATTCGCTACACTACAGTAATATTTATCACATCAATGATGTTACTGTGGAAAGATAACTTGGGTTTTCTTCATTTATTCATGGTCTACTCCACCTAAAGTAATTTGTTAAATTCATTAAGTTAACATTTAATATTCGATTGGTGAACTGTATGGAGAATACTAGCCCCTCACTTTCACTATCACTGACTGAAAATTAGAATTTCCATGACCTATAAGGAACAGAACAACAAAAAGCTATTGTTTCTATCTCTGAGAAGGCAGAAAAGAAACATTTTAAGAGTCTGACTTAAATGATTGCGGATTGGCACCTAAAAATAGCCTAACAAGAGGCAAAATGTGAACAACGCAATAAACAAACTGTGTAGAAATAAACAAAATTACATATTGCCAAATGGAAAGTAAAAATTTAAATGACAAACAAAAATCCCTGATATTCCATGACTTGGTCAAAAACAAATAAATAAAATGTTCTGTCTCCAAATGTCTGAAATAGACCTTTAAAAATTCCATGGTATTCCAAAAAATATTATGACTTGTGGTAACCCTGTTTACACTTTGAAGGATTCAGAATTCTACCTGGATCAACATTTATACTTTTCTCATTCATTTTTATTAATTATGATTATTTGAATAAGTATTTAACTTTGAAATGATTTTAACTAATAAATAGTGTTAACACATTGCTTAATATAAGAATGTTCAGTGCATTTGCCTGTCTCCTTATAACTATTTTCACTCACTGCGAGTGTTGAAGCTGGCTTCTGCTGATGAAACTGCAAACTATCTTTAGTAAACTTTATTTATTTAAATAAATCTCTGACTCCGGCTCTTCTTCATCTGACAGACTGGTCATTCCATGGGTTAAAACTGTAAATAATCTTAACAACTTTAATAGAACTTACTCCCATAATAGTAAAATGTGGAAAGAGATGGAAGATAGGGAAAGAACAGATGCTTTAGACTGCTTTACCCGAGTCTTTGCGTGTTGAATTTGACCATGCACAGAACCGAGCCCATGATGAAAAACATCAGAATGGGATCCAGCAGGATATACTGAGACAGGGTGATGCAACCAGTGTCTGTCGTGAAAAAGACCAGTTGATTTAGATTATTATCACAATGACTTTATTAACTACAGCTTACCTTTGTGTTGCTGATGACAGCTGCACTCACCGAAGATGAGCAGAGAGGCTGCGATGAGCGCTGCTGTTGAAGACTGAGAGAGCTCCAGGACAACAAGAAAGGCAAAAGGAGGCAAACAGGAACCAAGAGCAGCACAGAACTATAGAAAATGTAACAATCACAAGGATTAGAGCTCAGAATTATTTATAAAAAAAAGTATATGTTTTTATATACACCATTCTTTACTTAAAAAGTTTGAGTATATTTACTCAAACTCAAAAGTAGTTTTGCATTTTTTTTATCTTATATTTAATCTTTATCTATCATATCTACTGCAAATTTTCCAGGTTAAATAATAAACAAATATATACAGTACCCTGTCAAAAAACAAGATGCATGATGAATATACAATATTATTAAATAATATATTTTTTAATTACAACATATGCATAGGAACTATTCATGTATGGGTCAAAGTATAAAAAAAAATAGAACAAAGCTGGTTGTTTATTAGTTGGGCCAGACAGAATATGCAGATATTTTTTGCTATTTTTGCACAGAATTTTGTAAAAAAATCTGCGGATTAATGTAAAATGATTTTGGGTGTACCGTAACTAAAAAATTAATATGTTAAATAAAACAAAAAATTATACATTTTTAACTTTTATTTAATGTTTACAATGTAAATCTAATTAGATCCAATTATTTGGTCTCTCATATAATACATGTACCATTTATCCACTAAAAGACAGAACAAATTGTACTTTACAAGTTGTATTGTAAGTAAATCATCTACACATTTTCATATTAGTCAGTAATTATATTAAAATTAAATTAAAAACTAAATAAATATAAATGTACACATGTTTACAATCAACTAAATAAATAGACTCAATGATGGGTTGAAATTCTGTGGAAATCTGCGGATTTCTGTGTTCGCAGATTCCGTGTGGGGCGACTTATTAGTTAGTATATACATTAAAAAGTGTCCAAATAATTATCATTATTTTTAAAATGACTATTTTTAACTAGTTTTGACTAATCACAATCATTTAAACAAATTCCTTGATGCCATAATTAAAGACCATTTAAGCATCACAATGCAGCCCCAAAATCATAATCTTGATACTTTGCCAGAATGCTTAAAATCACTAGGTTTTAGGTGGTCAGAATAGGCATATTGATGTTGTCTTGATGAGAGTAGTTTTGGATAAAAATATACATTTTACTTAACATTATTTATCCCATTTTTTATGCAAGTTTTTTTTTTACATTACAATAGGCCCCACTTCCATTTAATACGCTTTCCATAAAAAAATAATTTTCTTTTCTTTTAAAAGTCTCTAAAGCACAATAAGTCTTCATTTAGTGATTTTTTGAACCATTAAAGCAAATGTTAAAAACCTGATTCTATTTTCATGCATTCATTTTCGTTTCGGCTTAGTCCCTTTATTAATCGGGGGTTTGCCACAGCGGAATGAACTGGCAACTTATCCAGCATATGTTTTATGCAGCGGATGCCCTTCGAGCAGCAACCCATCCACTCTTATTCTAACTCATACACTAAAGACGATTTAGCTTATCCAATTTACCTATACCACATGTTTTTGAACTTGTGGGGTGAACTGGTGCACCCAACACGAGGAGAACATACAAACTTGATTCTATTTTTATATATTTTTAAAGTCTCAGTTATTACAGTGACGGCAAAGCTGAATCTTTATCATCATTACTCACACAATCCTTCTGAAATCATTCTAATATGATGATTTTATGCTAAATAAATGTTTTCTTGTCAACAATGCTGAAACTAACTGTGCATTACATTAAACGGCATCTCAAAGATCTGCAAGATCTAAAAACTATAATTTACCGCTCTCATCCCCCAGTAATTGTGGTGCTCATATTTGTCCCCTGGCTTTATGAAGGGAAAGGTCCCATCGTAACCTGTCAAGTATCCAGCGAGGCCGATCAGCATCTGAATGAGTAAGACAGAATCATCCCCTTCAGCCACACAATAGAAACACTCAAAATAATTCTGATCATATTCCAGCAATGCATTAAAATACACACCTTTCCAAGGGGCGGATGGACATCAAAGAAGAAGGTGCGATTAATGTAATAGCTTCCCATTTTCCCAAAATGAGTCTCATCCCAACTGCAAATGGATCAAAATGTTTACTGCTCGACTGTACACTGACAATAAGCTTAATTTTACATCACAGTGTCATTTTTACAGGACTAATTCTCACCATACATGAGGAGGCTCAGTGATCTTGTAAAAGCGTGTAGATACAGACAACACTATCACCAGAGCCAAAATAAAAACGGGCACATGAGCATCTCTGCTGGGTGAACTGATGTGTTCTCCTCCTTCTCGTTTGGTGATCCTCTTATTTACACCATTAATAGTCCCATTGTGAGGCTGGGAAGGAATCTCAGCCCTCTCGTTTACCTTACATGTTTTTCGATGTCTTACAGCGGATGTGTCTTGTCTTTGAGAGAAATTCTCCTTCGGTCTGACGTCCATTCTTGAAGATGAAGAGGACAGTAATGGGTGAGTAACAAAACCACTATGAACACAATGGCAGAGTTCAGTAACGGTAAATAAAACATTATTCCTCACAGGATTGAAGAGCTTTTGGGCTGGTGGTGTTCAACATCGTGCCGAATGAGATATTCTGTTAGATTTTATTGCAAAGCTCCTGACGTTTTCCAGCTCATGTTGTTGTCCTTAACCATAAACTGTTGTAGATTGTTGGTTTGGGAAGTGTTGGTAATGTCCGCACTTCACTGGCCTCTGCTGGGCAGGAGACGGAGCTGCAGAAACTGTAAATCCAGATCCAGCATGGATGAACCTGAACTGATATTTAAAAAGGGGTTGAACAGAATCACAGCGAATAAGATTAAAAAGGGATAATATTAAAAATAGTGCTGGGCAAAATAAAATCACGATTAATCACATCCAAAATAAAAGTTTGTTTTGACAAATATGTGTGTGTATATTGTATTTTGTTATGTATTGCCTGCATAAATACAGACATGCAATCATAAATGTGAGAAAATGTCTATTTTTATTTAAATATAAAATATATATGCATTTGATACAAATTATATATATATAAATATATATATATATATATATATATATATATATTATGTGTTTGCATTACATACACATAATAAATATAAGTAATGAACACATAAATTGTCAAAACAAACTTTTATTTAAGTAATATGATTAATTGTGATTAATTGTTGTCCAGCACTAATTAAATTATCTGATACTTCATAGAGTCTATCCTAGAAAAATATTTCTACAAAAATTTTAAATTAATTTTGAGTTAGAATGCTGTTTTTGTGAAAGCTTTGAGGAAACAATTTCACATTTATTTGGTCTTGGCAATATCTCCGACTTTTTTGGATTAATGTTGAAGCTTTTATTGCTCATAATATTTTTAAATCATTTTCTTTATCCAATAAATGTGATTTTAGGTTATTATGTTAAGGATTGCTCTTTAAAAGATGTTGGTTTTATTATAAACTTTATTTTATTATTATGTAAATTTCACACAGTTGATGTCAGAATTATTAGCCATCCTGTTTATATTTTCCAAAAATTCTGTTAACGGAGAGATGACTTTTTCAACACATTTCTACATATAATAGTTTTAATAACTCATCTATAATAACGTTTTTCTTTAATAAAGTGAATAAAAACTGCTTTTATTCTAGCCAAAATAAAACAAATAAGACTTTCTCCAGAAGAAAAAATATTATTAGACATACTGTGAACATTGCTCTGCTAAATATAATTTGGGAAATATTAAAAAAAGAAAAAAAAAATCAAAGGGGGGCTAATAATTCTGACTTCAACTGTACATAAATCCAAGTTTGCCAAAAGCAAACCTCTCTTAATGGTACTATAAAAAGTCAAAAAATCGAAAAGCAATTAAAGCAGTTAATATGTGGTCCTTTTTTAAAATTTTTGCATAAAAACTTTTGTATATATGCATTTTCTGTGGTAAAAGTGCATTTAATAACTCGTTAGTCTTTACTAACTAAAATTGGAAAAATGTGTGTAATATATTTATATGTTATTTAATAATTCACCCTCTCCTGTTTTTTTTTTATTTAATTTCTTTTTTCTCGTTTGTTCTATTCTTGTTAAGAAATGTAAAGTGATTTCGTTGTATGAGAAAAACATACACGCTTGTTTTTGTTATTTAAAAAAAATTAAAACATTGATTTTTTTGTTAGTTTTTTGTTTTGTTGATTAAAAATGGAAAGATAGAAAAGTTTATGGGTCTAATTTCGTTTACACAAGGCTGCTGTGTCTTTGTTACAGTGTAATTGTGTGTATAGGCTATTGTACATTATAGGTACTTAATAACAGTATTTACCTACTTGTTAGGATTACTATTCAATTCAATTCAATTCCGCTTTATTTGTATAGCGCTTTTACAATGTAGATTGTGTCAAAGCAGCTTCACATAAATGGTCATAGTAACTGGAACAGTGTGGTTCAGTAACTGGAACAGTGTGGTTCAGGTTTTAGTGTTTAAGTTCAGTTCAGTTCAGTTTAGCTCAGTTCAGTGTGATTTAATCATTACTGAGAGTTCAAACACTGAAGAGCAAATTCATCAATGCGTAGCTCTACCAATCCTGAACCATGCGAGGCAGTGGCGACAGCGGAGAGGGAAAAAAAACTTCACCTGATGGGAGTGAAGAAAAAAAACCTTGAGAGAACCAGACTCAGTTGGGCACGACCATTTTAATTTCTCCGCTGGCCAAAAGTCTTGTGCAAAACTTCATTCGCCGTGGTTTATGCTGGAAGATGGCCTCAATGAAGACTCGTCTGTCCCTGGAGCGTCGCTGGAATCAGACTCATGTTCTCCACTCCCCACGACCATCAGCGCAGCAGCAGCTCAGGATATGGCCTGGTCCCGGATATGGAATCCTTGGGATCATCACGTCGCTGGTCTTTGGATCCAATCAGTGACTCCGCCTAATCTGAGGACCTCGGGATGAGTATCCCCAGGTGAAAATAGAGAATAAAGAGAATAATTAGCGTAGCTGCTGTTCATAGTGTATATAAGCACATAGTGTAAGATGCAGAAGCCAGTGTGGAACCCGCTAGGTGATGCATTGAGTGTATGCTTTACTAAACAGATAGGTCTTTAATCTAGTTTTGAACTGGGAGAGTGTGTCTGAGCCTCGGACGTTATCAGGAAGGCTATTCCAGAGTGTAGGAGCCATGAAAGAGAAGGCTCGACCTCCTTTACTTGATTTTGCTATTCTAGGTACTACCAGAAGCCCTGAATTTTGAGATCTTAAAGAGCGAGTTGGTTCGTAGCGAGACAGAAGGTTGGTTAGATAAACAGGAGCTAGATTATTTAGAGCTTTATAGGTGAGAAGTAATATTTTAAATTCAATACGAAACTTAACAGGCAGCTAGTGTAAGGAGGATAAAATTGGGGTTATATGATCATATTTTCTAGACCTGGTCAGAACTCTGGCTGCTGCATTTTGTACTAATTGAAGTTTGTTAATAGAGGATGCTGGGCAGCCAGCAAATAGAGCATTACAGTAATCCAGTCTCGAAGTCATAAAAGCATGGACTAGCTTTTCTGCATCTGAGATGGATAGCATATTTCGTAATTTAGCGATATTTCTCAGATGAAAGAAGGCAGTTTTTGTGACATGGGATATATGGTTTTTAAAAGTTAGATTGCTGTCTAATATGACACCCAAATCTTTTATAGTAGAGCTAAAGCTAACTTTGTATCCCTCTAATTGTAAATTGAGTTGCGAGATCTGCTGTGTGCAAGATTTAGGCCCAATAAGTAATAATTCTGTTTTGCCGGAGTTTAAGAGAAGAAAATTGTTGGTCATCCAGTCTTTGATGTCTTTGATACACTCAGTTAGTTTAGAAAGTTCAGACGTCTCGTCAGGTTTAGTTGAAATATATAATTGAGTATCATCTGCATAGCAGTGAAAGCTAATCCCATGTCTTCTAATAATGTCTCCCAGAGGTAGCATGTAAATTGTAAACAGTAAAGGGCCTAAAACTGATCCTTGAGGCACCCCATACTTTACTGGGCAGATTTGTGAAGGCTGTCCATTAAGATTCACAAACTGGTAGCGGTCAGTTAAGTATGACTTAAACCATTGTAGAGCCTGTCCCTGGACACCTGTAGACTTTAAGCGATTTATGAGGATATTGTGGTCAATGGTATCAAATGCCGCACTAAGATCGAGTAAAACTAATAGCGAGACGCACCCTCGGTCAGCAGCTAAGAGTAAATCGTTGGTTATTTTCACTAAGGCGGTTTCTGTACTGTGGTGAGCCCTGAAACCTGACTGAAACACTTCAAAAATATTGTTCGTCTGCAGAAAAGAGCATAATTGAGTGGAAACAACTTTTTCTAGTATTTTAGACATAAATGGAAGATTTGAAATAGGCCTATAGTTAGCTAAGTTGTTGGTGTCTAGTTGCGGTTTCTTAATAATAGGCTTAATAACAGCTAGCTTGTAAGAGTTTGGAACATGGCCTATAGATAAAGAAGAGTTGATAATGTTAAGAAGAGGTTCTCCTATAGCAGGTAACAGCTCTTTCAGTAATTTTGTTGGAATTGAGTCCAGCATACACGTAGCTGGTTTAGAGCTATTTATAATTTTTACTAACTCTTCATGTTCTATGATTTTGAAGCAGTGTAGGTTATTATTATGATTTAATGAAATATTTACAAGATTTGGAGTATAAGCCGGTGCAGAAAGTTTGGCATCTCCTATTTTCTGTCTAAAGCCTTCTATTTTATTACTGAAAAAATTCATGAAGTCATCACTACTAATTTGCGGTGGAGTAATTTGTTCCAAGGATGACCGATTATTTGCTAATTTAGAGATGGTGTTAAATAAAAATCTAGGATTGTTATGATTATTTTCTATCAGTTTGCGCAGGTGCTCGGTCCTGGCAGATTTTAGAGCCCTCCTATAGCTGGACATACTGTCTTTGTACGCAATTCTAAAGACCTCTAAATTATTTTTTTTCCATTTACGTTCCAGGGCGCGGGTTGCTGTTTTGAGCGCACGAGTATAACTATTATACCATGGTGTAGTTTTAATCTCTCTAGCCTTTTTTAATTTGATGGGTGCCACAGTATTTAGTGTGCTAGTAAAATGGCATCCATACTGCTGGTTACTACATCAAGATCATTTAAGTTTGCGGGTGCATTACGAAATAGAATACTACACTACATGTAATTAGGCATAATTTACTTATTATTCTACTTACATGCGTGACTAATGAGAACTCTGTAAAATAAAGTAGTAAAATAAAGCAGCATTAAAGTAGTGGTTCAAAATAAGAAATATTTAAAGGCTCCACAACTTGTTCAGCTGTTTGTTTTTGATTTGCAGGACTTCTCCAGATGCAAAAATCTTTTGAATCTGTTGTTGTTATAGCAAACTTATAACTTCTATAGTTATTTTAGCTTATATCTTTTGTTTTATCTTTATCGATGTTCGGAAAAATATCAAACTGCCTCTATAATAGTCTGGTTTGTTCGTGGTTGTTTTTTCTCACACTTCAAATATGACTTTACATGATCAGTGTGTCATTACAGATGTCATTATCATGTTGGAAAATAAAACCATTACCAGTCGGGTGCAGGACAGATCATTCACTATATTTCACTGAAGGCCCAAAGCTTTTCTTCCATCTCTCCATCTGTTTAATTCACATATTGTCAATGGCTGCACCAAAGAATTTCCCCAAAAATCACAAAAAAAACTAATTTACTGTTTGTATTCTAGTAAATAATTATACACGGTCATTATACCATAGCCTTAACAGCAAATTTAAACTGACCTGACTTCTGAAAAGGATTGTGTAAAACAGTAACAGACACATGCCTTGCATATATTTTATTTAGGAGTGCAAATATAAACATGAATTAACCGTCTTTCATACTTCTGAATTAAGTAAATCAACTCATGTCCCTTATCCACCAATATATTACTGATTTACAAACAACTGAAAATGTATCATTCTTAAAATTCCATTAGATGTGTATAAGGTCCATTTGTATCCAGCTTCAGGACTTGTCTGTTTCCATACGTTCCATGCTTGACCTCTGTAAGAATGTCACTGTTTTTGCAGGACGAGAGCTCACTTTGACAGAGAGACACAAAGGTTTCATAGAGCTTCAATCCTTCATCTTTCCCAATATTGCCGTGGTACTGCATCCCTCGTCCCTTCGGTTTTCCTCCGAGTGTGGCTTGTGGTACAATGAGAACACTGCCAGGTAGCTGAAGAACTGAGGTGAACTTTCCTGATTCTGTCTCACAAAGCTTCACGTTCAGCAGCGTGTTTACTGTGAGGGAGAAAACAGCCGTATATCAAGATCTTACTCGATGTACAGATGAAGTCAGAATTATTAGCCCTCCTGAATTATTTGCTCGCAGTTTCATTTTTTACGCAATTTCTGTTTAACGGAGAGCAGATTTTTTTCAACACATTTCTAAACATAATAGTTTTAATAGCTAATTTCTAATAACTGGTTTATTTTATCTTTGCCATGATGACAGTAAAAAATATGCAACTACATATTTTTCAAGACACTTCTAAACAGCTTAAATTGACATTTAAAGGCTTAACTAGGTTAACTAGGCAGGTTAGGGTAATAGGCAAGTTATTGTATGATGGTTTGTTCTGTAGACTATCGGAAAAAAATAAAGCTTCAAGGGGCTAATAATTTTGACCTTAAAATAGTTTTTAAAAACTTTAAAACTGCTTTTATTCTAGGCGAAATAAAACAAATAAGACTTTCTGCAGAAAAACAAAATATTATCAGACACATTGTGAAAAATTCCTTGCTCTGTTAAACAACATTTGGGAAATATTTAAAAAAAATAAATAAATCAAAGAGGGGCTAATGTGTGGCTCTGTGTGTGTGTGTGTGTGAAGGGGGGGGGGTTCTAATAAGTTGCCTTTTAATATTTGATAAATTAAATAAGAAATGAACAATGGCATCATTGTCCCTGTTTATTAAACACGTTTTATTGTATACACTTTAGATCACTGTGGATTGAATTTTTTATTTTTATTCTTTAGCTGAGCAATTAATCAATGCAAGTTAATCCACTGAAAAAAAAGATTTTTTATTGGTAATCTTCAATTAAAGCCTGACCATTAGCTTCTGCATAATAACAAAGTACACTAGCAAAATAAACACTTTAATGAGCTTTAGAGGAAGATACAACCAAAACAGAAATAAAAAAAACGTGGAAATGGATACAGTATGCTTTATTACAAGTGTGAGAAGAGGAAACCCATACCCATTTTGGGGATTAAATCTTCAGTTGCACCTTTGAAAAAGCAGATGTAGATAACCATTCCTCTATTAACCTGAATAAAAAACACACCGGTCATAAATGGACACAATATGTATTATTTAATATGTGATCTTATTATCTTTTCAATACCTCAACCCATTCAGCTTCACTCTCCTCATCTGGAGGTTTGACCTGAAGTCGTGCATGCAGACACTGCTGGAGAACCACACGCGCTTTCATGCCGCTATCCGTTTTTTCCGACATTGCCACGATATAAACCAAAAATAGCCAATTTAAACTAATGTGATCAATGTATTGCCGAATAATAGAAATGATAAATGTGTATAATGAATGAACTTCACTAAGATGAACTATGGAACAACTGGATTGTTCCGTTTCCGTTTGACAATCATAATCCAAACACTGAACGTCATCAACAGGCGACAGAGCGACGAACTCCAACAGCTCATGTCACTTAATATTTTGAATAACATTCGCTGTATTTCATGGCGTATTTTTATGTAAATTGTAACATAGTAACCGAAAATTAAGCCCATAAAACGAATGTCACATGGAAATCAGAGCGTCGCCTTTGCCTTTCTCGTGATTTAAGTTAATCGCCGAAGCTTTAAACTATGGTTAAACTACTCACCAGCTACAAAAAGGTTTGGCAAATATGTACGTTTTCCCCAAATGTTATAGGCACACCGCTGCTGCCTAGCAGATCGAGTCCAGCACATCAAAATGCATATAATTTTCGTCACAAGGTAAGTAAATCTGATAAATAGAGTGATTATTACATTATACTAGAGCCCTCCAGTCATTTGGACCTATTGCTAAATATGAGCAAATAAGGCTGTGGGAAAATGCCTTTGCTTAAAATCGTTATAAAATTACAAATCACAGCACAGTCTCATCAAAAACCAATATATTTGTTGAATTTATTTATGCCACAATTATTGGCAGCTCTACGTATCCATAGGAGCAACATATTTTGAAGTATGTACCCATTGATATGTAACATTGTAAGAGACTGGGTGACAATTGACAAGAAAGGGGAAAATGTTCAACCACGACCATCTGTTTCACAGAGCATTTTATTAAATGAGTAAACAAATTGGCTAAACTTAATTTATTTTATTATTACACAGCCTTCTTTGTTAATATTTAGTCTAGGGTGTTGTATTCGTATTGGTCATAATATACATTAGGTTACTTTCACACTGCAAGGCTTATAGTGCTTAAAGCAGATTTTTCTCAGATCTGATTTTTTTTTGCACAGCTGTTCACATTGTTGTTATAAATGTGGCCAGAATCCAGTGTGAACAGATCATTGTCCTAAACAGACCCGCATGTGCAAAATTGTCAGATTAGGTTTAATATGATTATAGCCCTGTTGACAGAAAATCGTCCTGTATTTTATGAACTGTAAAGGGTTGTTCTGCTACTACTAATGTGTATTTCAGCATTTGAAACTTAAAATAAGTCAGTGAATTATGCCAAGCATGGTGTGTGTCTTTCTGACCACCAGTGTGGTGAACTCATCAAGGGTTAATGAGCAGCCGCAGAGTGAACTGTGAAGGCGGAGTTTGTTTATTTTCATATTCATATAATTTTTATATCATAAAAGCGTCTGCTAAATTACTACATGTAAATGTAAATAATCTGTCATATCTGGTTCTTTTAATGTATTAATTATTTAAAGGAAATAAAGCTATTTCGTGTAGTCCTATGTGTTTTATTAATTTGACATATGCAATTTCTATGGACTATGGATATACCTTTTTATTTTAAATATAACTGCACAAAATATTTTTTCAAAGGTTAATGGGTAATGATTGATTAACAAATTCCTTTTTTTTTTTAATAAACAACCAACATTTTGTGTTAAAGTTATAGTTCTGTGTGTTATTCTACTTTGCTGCTGAGGAGTGGATGATGTTTGCAGCACAGAATGATGACGCTTGTTTATCACAGATTATGTAAAAGTGACATGAATTCCTACATAATCGTTACCCATGCGGTCACATTGCAAAACATCAAATCCGTGTCTGATTTAATAATACTACATATGAAAGTGAAAACATCAGATTCCATGCGGATTGTGCTGTTCACACACAGTCACAACAAAAACAGATCTGAGTCACATTTGGGCAAAAAAATCTGATTTGCAGTGTGAGCCTGTCACATTTTGAAGTGGATCAAAAAAGATTTTCAAAACTGTCTTTAAGTCAAGAACGAGTGTTCTTTTTTAGGACAACTTTGATAAAAGGTGTTGATCCACTTCAAATGTTGATTACTGTATTTCACAAACATGCATAAACCCCTACTACATCGAAGTCTAGAGTAGTACTGACACATGTTCTCTGATTTTCTGTTTAGACTTCAGGTGCTGGTGATCGAGCACTACAGGAGAGACAAAAGCAACACATGGCACGTGGTTTGCCCAAACAGAAGCCCATAGCTGGAGTCAAAGAGGTCATTGTTGTTGCATCAGGGAAAGGAGGGGTGGGAAAGTCCACAACGGCAGGTTGGTTGTTTTTGCATTCACACACCGCAGTTTTTTATGCTTTATGGTCTGCTGCCAATAAATCTTGGAAACACTGATTTAGTTAAATGTCTCCACAGTGAATCTTGCTCTTGGACTTATGGCTAACGAGCAGGTAAAATTCAGATAACCCAATTTTATCCATGTTAAAGACATACACTATTGAAACAACACAGTTATTGCACTTGTTTTAACAAATTTGCCTTTAATCAAGTCTTTTTTAATATGATTTTTGAATGTAGAGTAAATTGGTGGGCCTTCTAGATGCTGATGTCTTTGGTCCCTCGGTTCCCAAGTTAATGAACCTTAAAGGAAATCCTGAGTTAACAGAAAGTGAGTATTTAGGCCACATAGTTTTTTATTTAAACATAACATATCTTAACAGCCCTCCAGGATTTTGCAGAGACATTTATGATAATGTTTGCAGCGTAAAATTACAGATATTTTGACAGCTTTTCTCATAACAGTTGGCTTTATTTTTTTAATTCTAAAAAACCACTGGACTTACAAAATCTTGAAGGAACTATAAAACTTGTCAGTCAATAACATCTGCTCTCTCTCTCTCTCTCTCTCTCTCTCTCTCTCTCTCTCTCTCTCTCTCATTTTTATTCAGAAAACTTAATGAGACCACTTGTAAACTTTGGAATTCCTTGGTAAGTATGTGACTGAATAATTGTTGTAATGTAATACTGCTTTTTAAAATACAGAACTGTTCAACATTTGGAGACAACTTCAGTGGTATCCACAGCCAAATGTCTTTGATAAATTGCTGTAAAAAGTTTATTTTGTGAAATAGGTGTTAAAAGATAAGTATTTGCTCAATTTGAATATTTTTTTTATAACAATTAATACCTGTAACTGTCTAAGCTACATTTTCATTAGCCATTAATCTCGTCTTCAATGTCGCATGATTATCCAGAAATCCTTCTAATATGTTGATTTGGTGAAGAAACATTTCTTTTAATTATTTGCAGTGATGAAAACAGTTGTGCTGCTTTATTATTTGTGGACACTGTTATTCACTTTTTCAGGATTTTCCTTTGTACATAAAGTTCAAAAGAACATTATCAGTCAATATTTTGTAACATAAATACCTTAAACATCATTTTTGATCAATTCAGTATTGAATCCCCCATAAAATTCACTCACCTTACATTTTTGTAACAGTAGAATATATTTCCCCCATCATACAATGTATTTAAACGATTTCTTAATGTTTGCCTTCCTGTCCTCTACAGCATGTCAATTGGCTTTCTGGTAGAAGACGTTGCACCTATTGTGTGGAGGGGTCTGATGGTGATGTCAGCTATAGAGAAACTTATTAGACAGGTGTGTGGTTTAGAATTGGAAATTGCTGTTTGTCAAATACATTACTATTCCCCGTTGTCTTTGTCTAGGACAAATAGATTTCTTCAAGGAAGTGTAATTTCTATTCATTGGCATATCTTGAATTACTGTGCAGGAATCATTCTACTAGCTTGCTAAACTGTTATTTTCTGTAAACTAAAAAAAGATCAAATTTACTCAAACTCATTGTTCCTTTCACTAATGTAATGACTTTTTCCATGCAGGTAGACTGGGGGAATTTAGATTACCTTGTGATTGATATGCCGCCTGGAACTGGCGATGTTCAGCTTTCGATTACTCAAAATATTCCTATAGCAGGTAAACCAATGATATGGCTGATTTGTTGTCGGTCTCATGTTTTCTTAGCATCTAATAAAATGTGAAAAAACTATTTTATGTAATGTCAAGTCAGTATCAACGCAGATTGATAGATGTTTCTGATTCGAATTATCATTATCATTTCTTGTATCAGGGGAGACAATTTGAGGCATTAATATTGTTTATTATACATTTATTTTAATTCTTTATAATATTTATTTATTATTATTCTTTATCTACCTATATATTTTTTCTTTTTTTTCTGTAAGAATAATTAAACATTACTTTGGTGTGTGTGTGTTTACCTCAGCTAATTTAGGCCTGTCATGGAAAAAATAATTATCTATTCTATTCAAAACCTCTGCTCCATTTAGAAATTAAACAGCTGTCTTTTTGAATAGATCATTGAGTTAATGACTGACACCGTTAGTTCAAAAATAAATCACAGTAGTGTTGTCCAAAACGTTCTGCTCTGGTTTTGTATAGGACTATCTTCATTGGTGAATAAACGAACAAAAAGAAAGTAAATCTGTGTCTAAAATGTAAATCACTTAGTATTAACTTCTTGTTTGTTGCTCTGTTAGTTAAAATCTATATGATATTTGCATTCACACTCTTGCATTGAGGAAGTAACATTACAGGGATATTTATTACTTTTATAACTTGAATTAAAGGGTCGTTGAACTGCATTCTATTTATTTTCATCATGTTTTATTTTTTTTTTGCCAAAATGATTGAAAAATTCAATAATGTTATTTTACAGCCAAAATTACAATATTACTATAGACAATAAGAGTTAAAAATTCTCAACCTTCATATGTAGCATAAGCTTCTCTCTTGAGTATAAAAATATTCTGAATAAAAAAATAATAGCTTTACAACTACTAAAAATGCATATTTTATATAGTATATAATTAATATGGTCATGCTACATTTGCCATTTTGTAATCTTAGTAATTTCTAAATTCACATATACTCTTACTCTTAATAAACTCTTTCACACAGTTATAACAATACATTGACATAATGTAACAAGAACAACTTTAAAAGTAGATTTTAAAAAATATGCTATTCACATACAGCAGAATTCCAGAAATTTATTGGTAATGTTAATTCTGGAAACGTGTTGGAATACATTTTATGGTGTTTCTAGAATTCTGGAAGGGTCCGTATGTGTAAATAAGGTTATAGTAATACAAAAGACCTATAGATTGCACTGTACACAGGTGTGTTTGATTAGGGTTACAGGCAGCTACACTCATAGTTAAGAACCTTTGATGTAAGCATTTCTTGACAGATTTATTTGCCAAATGTCAAAGCTTGTATAATTCATGCTTAACTGATGTTCATTTGATCTCTCAGGGGCTGTAATAGTGTCAACGCCACAAGATATTGCCCTTATGGATGCAAGAAGAGGTGCTGAGATGTTCCGAAAAGTTAACGTTCCGGTACAGTGCTTTCTTCTGTATTTATGTTTCCACCTCCAACTTAGAAGAAAAGTAAGAAGAATATCAAAATCTGGGATCAAAATCCAAAACGTTCTTATTATTTTAATATTTTACAATTTTACATGAGCATTGACAGTATGAGCTAACACTTGTGGAAAACATTGGAGTGGAGTTTAACTTGAATTTACAGACGATAAATCAAATTTGTCCATCTTGTCAAAGCACTGTAAATGTTCCTTTTTGTTTTACCCTTTGTTTCTTTGATTTGCAAGTTTTTGATTTTTAGTTTGGACTTCAACCGTAAATACCCTCTATATATATATCTATATATATATCTATATATATATGTGTGTGTGTATATATATATATATATATATATATATATATATATATATGTATGTATGTATGTATGTATGTATGTATGTATGTATGTATGTATATATATATATATATATATATATATATATATATATATATATATATATATATATATATATATATATATATATATATATATATATATGTATGTAATCAAAATCCACAACTCTCATGATAGGTCGAGCTGAAAAGTGTTTGATGGATTTGATTGGATCACTTTAATGTTTCTGTGGTTCTGCGAGACTCACTGCACTTCTGTGGGAGATGAGCCTATGAATGTCATACTTATTGTAGTAAATAAATTATAAACTTGGTTATTGTTAATGATGCAGTATGTAGGATTGCGGCCCAAATTTAAAACATTGGAGAGGGCTTTTTTTTAACTGGCCCCTTTATTCTGACATGACGCACAAGCAGGTTGCCAGATTGAGAACACCAACAGATTACAAGCATATCTGAAGATGAAGCCTCACACTGTAAGCTAATCAGTTAATGTTTACATTTGTAATATTTAAATTGTTTGCAGAATAATAAAACACCTCATGTGGATTTTTATAACTCTGAATCTGCTCATTTCGGAGGCTGCTACTGTCCTCCGGAGGTTGCATATTGACCACGCTCACATACATTGAGGGCTCCAAGGCAATGTGGGGTGCTGAAATATAATTGGGTAAACTGGCAGTGGGTGGAGTTACACAGACCAAAAAAAGACAGACATCTAGACATGGAACACAGATTTTTAAAGGAGAGTAACTGACTTTAGCATTGTTTTTCAGATAAACAAGTATGTTCACTTAGCATGTTTCTGAAATATCTGCAAATATATTTTGGTATTTTTAGGATTTAGAAGAGTCAAAAACTTGCATAGAACGCCTTTAAAAACTTTTGACAAAAATGACTGTTTCAGGTGCTGGGTCTTGTTCAAAACATGAGTGTTTTCCAGTGTCCCAAATGTAATCATCAGACTCACATTTTTGGCTCAGATGGGGCTAAAGAGTTGGCTCAAACCCTTGGTGTTGAGTTGCTTGGTAAGGCCATTTTATGATAATTATTACTTTATAACTGATTGTTTGAGCATATTTAACAAACACTGTGACATTTACTTAACTATATTATATGTAACTAACTACCTTTTGTTAATTCCGTGAGACTTCTGCTAATTTCTGTCTTGTCATTTCAGGAGACATTCCTCTTCATCTAAACATCAGAGAGACATCAGACATGGGGCAGCCTGTGGTTGTGTCATCCCCAGATAGTCCAGAGGTAAGTGGCTTATGTTGGACTCCTGCATTTCATTCTTTCCCATCATTGGTAGTTTTCGTCAGGGTCAACCTTTCGTTAGGTCCAAACATTTAGTGTAAAAATGTCTGTAAACCCAGTTCGAATTCCACCTGCGTAGCATGTACTGATAAAATAGGAAATGTAAAAGTTGTATATTTACTCTATGCAGTGTATTTTGTTTTGTTTTAATTATATTGTAGTCAAATCTGTTTGCTCTGGAGCAAATAACAGATGATTGAGATCTAAAATTGCTGTTAGATGTACCCAAAACTAATGATATTTCACATTTAACCTGTATAGAGACACGAATCAGAATCCAGAATAAATGTCTATCATATGGGTGCTCTCTGTGGGGAATGAGAGGCTGAATGGCTTCTAAGACACTGGGAGTCTCATCACTGAAATCATCTAAAACATTTTCAAACAGACACTTGTAAATGTTCTTTATGACAAAAACAGTCATATTAATAACAGAATCATTATAATATGTATTTGAATGTGTTATTAAACCAAGCAACTGGTTTACATTTTTCAGAGTTTTCAATAAATGCAAGTAAGAAAAGTGTTTTACAGCTGATCTAAAATAACATGTATGTTTTGCAGGCCGAGGCCTACAGAAGAATTGCAGCAGCAGTCGTACGGCGATTGGCAGAGCATCTGAAATAAAACTAAGTCCATATTTAACACAAAAAATGAGCAGTATCTTCTCCAAATTAGCTCCATTGCCCAATTAAAAATTGGTATCAAATACCAATTAGAATGTTTATAAGTAATTTATTTTCATTTATGCACTGATATGCTGTCAACAGATATTATTACATGTCAATAGAATGTGTTTAAATTGCTTCCCTTAAAGAGCAATTTAAGTTGTGAAAGAAAGAAAATAAGACTTGACTGCAGTTACTAATTGAAATAAATAAGCATCAACACAACATTAAGAGCAAGAATCAACTATTTTTTTATCTTTATAGAGTTTCTTGTTACTGATAAAAATTAAGTACAGTAAGTTGTTAAGAAATATTGCAGTATTTGAAATAAAACACTGCAGATTCACCTAATAAGTGGGGAAAATTATTTCATAATTTTATAGTTCTGGAAATAAATACCAGGGTGCAAATGTTGCCTTGAAAATGTGCAAAAGTAATAATCACATTGAAATGTTATTTCTGACCTCGATCTTTTCCCATAAAATAGATTACCAAGATTTTTCACTAAATATAACATGGTCAAAGTGCAGATTTGATGTTATTTAGATCAATAATTTCACTGATTTAATTTAAGAAATGTCTTTTCAAAATAATTCTGAAAGTCACTAGCGGTCTTAACCACAAGAGGGCGCCGCACACCTGATTTAAACAAGCTAAACTGCGTTTTCACTTAAACTGTGACTAACTTTAAAACAGTTAGCATCACTTTTACTCTTTTGTTGCTTAACTTCATGTAGACAAATTCCGGCAATCCAAAAGGACAGTAGGGTGAAGTTTTGACGGGAAGAGAAAAACATCCTGCATCGTTTATTCCAGCAGCACAGCTCCCTTGACTCAGCTGAAAACAGCCGTGTTCAGTCCAGGCCAAACAGACCAGTCTGTGATTCATCACCGCAATGAAGCTCTTTTGCTTTCTTTTCGTCTCAATTGCTTAACTGTTCCCAGAAGAGCGACCCCGGCCTTTTCAGCTGTTCAATGACCTCAGCTGAATTCGGACCGTTGTGAGTTTGGTGTCATTTATTTTCTCTTTGTTTTCGCGATAAAGCAAAGCGTTATCCAGATAGCATGACCCGTCTGATGTCACTGAGCGCAACGCTGTGACTCACAGTCTATGAGGAGTAAATATGACAAGCTGTATATTTTAATTTGGTGTTTATAGAGCACAACTAAACACAAGTATCGACGTGCTACAAAATAAATGTCCATTCATTAAATTAGACAAAGACACAAATTAAACAGAAACAACTGGAATATCCATCATCCATATTCAACTGTGTGTCCGGGGCCTGCTCGTGGGAGGCAGCAGTCTCAGCAGGGAACCACAGACTTCCCTTTCTCCAGACACGCCTTGCAGCTCCTCAAGGGGATCCCAAGGTGTTCCCTGGCAAGCAGAGAAGACGTAGTCTCTCCAGTGCGTCCTGGGTCGTTCCCTGGGCTTCCTCTAGTTGTTACAAGCTCAGAACACCTCCCCAGGAGGCATCCAAAACAGATGCCCGAGCCACCTTAACTGGCTTCTCTCGATGTGAAGGAGCAGGCCCTCTAATCTTGAGTTCCTCCCAGGTGACAGAGCTCTTTACCCTATCTCTAGCCACTTGTAATCAAGATCTTGTGATTTCAGTCATGTGTAGGAATACCTTTAAATTGATAGCTGAGCCAAACTACTAATAAAAAACATTACAAATTATGAATAACTTGTAAAAAAAAAAAAAAAAAAAAAAAATATATATATATATATATATATATATATATATATATATATATTTAAACCTAGATTTAATTGGAACAGTTCTAAAACATTTGCTAATTATGTCAGTTTTTCTGGACCACTAAAGAGCATTAAGTTGGCAGACCTAAAAGAGCTTTTGCTGGTGGTCTTCTATCAACAGATCAGATATGAAGGTGCTAAACCATTTAAAACTTTTTAAAAAAGGAATAAAAGCAGTAGCATACAGGTAACTATTGTAGAGAGATGGGGAAAGTGTGTATACTTTTCTGACTGGCAGATTGTGAAGGACAGTTGATCCTAAAATAAAGAGAGTTAACTAAAGGTCCAGCCTTGTGGCCATAAAAGACTATTATTAAAACTGGTAAAAGTTTACAATAAGGTTGTATTAGTTAGTGTTATTTGTTGTATTTACTAAGATGAACAGTAATTACAGTATATCTTAATAGTAAAGTTGTCATTTATTGTCACAGTCATTTATTGTAAGTTCATGTTAACTTGGATGTTAATAATGCATTAGTAAATGCTAATATAATTAATACTGTAAACGTGTTCATGATATGCTCATGTTAGTAAATACAGAAACTAATGAAACCTTATTGTAAAGTGTGACTGTAAAACTATTAGTATAAATAAATACATAAATAAATAAAGTAAAAGGATTCCATACCATAGTATGAATTCTTGAGAGCCTATAGACGACTTCATGAAATGCTACTTTTAATTTTTTAAATATCAGCAATATCCATTTGTAAAATTCAGATATTGATAATAAAATCATCACTCGCAGAAATAAAATTCTGTAATATCAGAAATTGAACTAGTATAGGAAGTATATAAATTTTGATAGAAATAAGTTTTTACTACTTAAATTTTACTGTACAGGCTGCCTTTCGAATTCAGTTGTTGATATCAAGAATTTATTTCTTAGTTAAAATTCCAATTTGAGATTTTTGATCAGTATCTGTTTAAGTACAATGCTTGATTGTTGATATCAACAGATAAATTGCTTCTCGAAAAATTTCATTTTAATACAAATAGATTGTCATTAGAGCCAATAGTAATTTTATGTGATTGTTACCAAGAAAACCTTTTTAGATGTGTGAAATTATTCTCCCTATTATCTGAAATACATTCTCAGATGTCAGAAATACCTTTACAGATATCTAGATTTTGAATATGAACTATGACAGCTGAATTCTTGAGATCAGGAATTCAGATTTTATAGTTAGAAAATATTCATTGACATAAAAAGATATTTCTGACAGTAAGAAATGATGTGCAAGTACAATTTCATCAAGTAAGTCTTCAAAAATTGATATCAACTATTGAATTTGAATAGTAGCCTATGGTCACATTTAAAAATTAATATCAGAAATATTTTTTTTTTTAAATATAAATATAATTCCTTTAATCAAAATTGTTTCTAGTTGAAATACAATCAAGAATGAGCATTTCTACCAGCAAAAACATAAGAAATCCTGTACTGCAAATTAGTAAAAGTCAGAATACTTTGCCATATAGAAAATAGCGAATAAACATCTATTCATATAGAGATGCAGCATTTGCCAAAATTCTGTTTGGGATTATAAGGGAGTTTCACAATGAAGAATGGAATACAACAGCAGCTATATAAGATGGCATGTTTGCTTAAGAAGCAGCATGATGGAGCTTGTTTCAGGTAATTCCCAGATGGCAAGACACGGATTTCTTAAACATTTCCCAGTGTCCTTGCGGTGTTATCAGAGGCATTATAAATGCAGACTTTGCCCCATGTGGTAAATACGGCTTACAGCTTCTGCTTCCTAAGGCTATGGAAAAAAAATCAATAATTAAATGGGGTAGCTGTGCGGGACAGAGGGCAGTCTTATTTCTGTGTCATCTCTGATTCAGAAGCAGATACTGTTAATAAGATAAGCTGAGGTGCAAACAAAAGAGACTTTAGAAGAAATTGTTACTTAAGATTGCTTTCTGGATCAGTTTTGTTTAAAATTGTTATGTGTTCGTTTGTTGACAAATAAACAAGAAAAGATTTTTCCCTCAGAAATTGCTAGTAATTAAAAAAAAAAATTTTTAAATAATGTTTTAGGTAGAAACATTTAACTAGGATTTTTTAAAACATGTTCTTCTAATCTAGACTTCAACAAAAAAAGATCAAACTTATAATAACATTCAAATAAAACAGCACAATTTTCAGTTATTCTTTATCAAATCATCATCTATTATAAATATCGTAATCTCACTTTGAATCCATCCTTATGTTAGCACGATGAAGTCTTCATAACTGAGTGGCATTTCAACTGGTTTAAATGGTGATCTACACATGTATTATAAAAGACATGTATCTATAATTGATCAAAATTATGTAAGGTACATGGCTTTTGGGGCTGAGATTTTTCAAAGCAGCTATACTGTTGCCATGTATAATACATCTTCATTAATGCTGTATCTTGAGAGCAGATTCTGAGAAAAAATATGCATTTACATTGGGTAAAATAAGTATTTAACATGTAATGATTTTTCCTGGTAAAAATTTCTAATGGAGCTGTTGACATGAAATTGACCCAGATTTTGGTAAAATACAAATAAACAGATAAAAAAATCCATGTAAATGAATTATGTGTAATAACAATTGAATGACACAATGAGAAAGCGCCGAACTACTCAAATGTATTTAATATTTTGCAAGTTTTTTTGTGGAAAGACAGCTTCAAGTTGCCTCTTTTATGAAGAAGTGTTTTGTGAAGGAGTCACATGCATCGCTCCGGTATGTTTCATTTTTTCTCATACATCAATAGAGTGTACAAATCTTGATGGTTCTGTAAGTCTCTTCGGTGAATTCTGATATTTAGTTCTTATTTTATATTGGATTCAGGTCAGGTGATTGTCTGGGCCATTATAGCAGCTTTATTTTCTTTTCTGAAACCAATTGAAAGCTACCTTGGCTGTGTTTGGGAACATTTTCTTGCTGAAATGTCCACCCTGCCTTCATTTTTATCATCTGGTATTGTAGATGTTGCAACTAGCTAATATTCCTTTACACTGATGATAGGGTTGTTTTTCTAACTGCTGAAAGCTGCTGTCTGGGTGTTCCATGCCTTTTTACACCTTCCTTACTTTGTGTGTTCAATAATTTCCCTCTGTGTCAATTCATTTGATTACACATAACCTAATTTCTAAACAAATAATGTTTTTTTTGTTGTATGTATGGATACTTAACCAGCTGGAAATTGTAATCAATTGTCCACAGTTCAGCTTAAAAAAAGAAACAAAATAAGCATCAATACAATAGTTAACCGCAAAATTAAAATTTGCTGTTATTTTAACCTCAAGTCACCCAAGAAAGACTTATTATTTTATGTACAATGCATCATTATTGCCATTCATTTTGTTCAGCATGTGCACCTATTTCTTTATATATATATATATATGTATATATATATATATATATATATATATATATATATATATATATATATATATACATATATATATATATATATATATATTAGTCTCTAAAATTGCTGGTAGTACCATTAAGGACCCCAGTTTCAGCTAAAAACATCTGTAATGTTCTTCTAAAGGAAAATAAAATCACATCTTGGATGGCAGACAGAAACTTTGACACACGTCCAGGGTCTGGCTGTATTTTTTTTGCATGAAACTTCTCTCCTGTAGCCTTTTCGTCAGTGACCCGGAAACCCAGCCCTTCCCACAATCCCAAGCGTGGATCCATAACCATGGCAATGTAGCTGTTCTGCTGCTCCGGGTAAATAGCAGCAGCAGCTGGTTCCAATTGCACTGCAGCACAGGGGAGCAGGAGGGGGGCGAAGTGTGTTTGAGGCGGCATCAGTGAGGTGTTTGAACCCTTTGGACATTTAACTCATTGGTAAAAATCTACTTTGGAAACATTTTTAGAAGCTGCATTTAGCTATAAATGACTGTCTTAAAGGGGAAATATCATCAAAATTTGACTTATTTTATGTTTAATGCTATAATCGGGTTTCCATTATATCTACCAACTCAGAAAATGTGTAAAAGGACAACTTAGTAACTAGTAAACCTCTTTATACGTGGACATAGAAAAATGCATATTTAGATTTTGCTCACAATTGACATACAATGATATAAATAATTAAAATAATAAGGATTATAAAAGCTCTGCTGCTTTTCTGCTGGGCTGCACTTTCACCAACTAACCATCAACAATATGTAAATTGACATTATCATGCAAGCATATTTTATTTCAATTATTCATCCATTTAATGAGTTATTAGCAACAAACATTATAATTCTTGTTTACAATATATATATATATATATATATATATATATATATATTTAAAGATTTGAGATCAACATTAGGAAATAATGTACCAATATGGGTGATAAACTTTTAAAGTGCAACCTCCCATTAAACAAAGAAAAGAAAAAAAATGTGTGGCGTACTGCTTTTTGGCATCTATTTTCATATAACTCTTGACAATGTCTTCTGTGTTTATAGTTAACATACACTGAAGTTACTCCCAGGAGTGGTTTTGAAACCGACATACCTGAAGTAAGCGGGTTTAGGGTCCCGGTATCAAATTAAGTTCTTTTTCGTTCTTTGTTTAGAGGTCAAAAAGAAGTCCAAAAAGGCTTATCGTCCAGTCTGTGTGACTCTGAGTCTTTAAAATATCTTAGCTAGCAATTGTTCCATCTGTACCAGCTCTGCTACTCGACCCTTCAGTTTATTCATGTTGCTAGCTTGGTGTTGTTGTGCAGGATGTTTTTCTCCTGTCTGACACTAAACTGCATGAACATGAAGCACATCCAATAAGTCGGAGTTCCAGAACACCCACTGATTGCATAATCGTCATGGACCAATGATATAGCTCAAAGGTGTTTAAGAGCTAAAACAAACTCCCCAAAACATTGGCTTTGTTGAGCTGTTTAGAACTGCTGAAATGAACTCGAAACGAGCTTCGTTTGGGCTGGATTTTGTTTGAAATTGTCTTTACAGTTATTTTTTCAATTTCTTTTCAAGTATTCCGGGGAATGTAGGGTTAACCTTGCTTTCTGGAGTACACCCCAGAGCTGTAACATGCTAGTCAAAGAGTTTAATTAACCCAACAACAATTACGTAAATGTGTCTACTTTCAGAAACTTCCAATTGCTGTTCAGAAGTTGTAACCTCCTCTCCATCATTGTCTGACTGGTCTGATCATAAAAAGCTTTTAAACTAGTTATTTCCTAAATTTTGGCGGTGGGAGATTTGCTTGTGTTGTCATTTCTGGAGTGTCAGAAAGGCAAGCTGAGAAGCAGCAGCTCATTTGCATTTAAAGACACACAAAAAATTTGCTTTTGCTCACAACCAGCGTTTTGCAAAAATACATTGAAATGTATTTTAAAATAAAATACAAAATGTATCAAAATAAAAATACTGTATTTTGAAAATACTACAAAATACTTTTACAAGGGGGCATCAAATATCTTCCCAAACCTTCCATCAACAGGCCCATTGGATCAATCCCTTCACCATTAAACTGATTTTGTAAACAATGTATTTGTAAACCAAGTAAACAATAACTGATAACAGCTTTTTCTGAGCAAGTATAAGCCAGGTTCTCTGCACTTCATTCACCTCTACTGTACACGAGGAGGTATTTATAAAAATGTAACTTATGTTTCTCTTTGATATTAGAATAGATTTTGTACAAATTTTACACAGAAAGTTTTGAAGATGATCTCTTTTATATGAAACCATTTAATGCAGATAACAAGTTGAAACATAGTACAATTTCTTTTGATTGAAAAAGGCATTTCCCTAATCATGTTTTTTTTGTTCAGTACAAAATATAAAACCTGATATCTCAATCTAAAATCTGCTTTGCTGCCATAGAACCTGAGTTGGGAGTTTTTGGCCAGTTTGTAAATTGGAGTTTTATTAAATATTTTTGTCTCATACTGATTAACTATTTCAAAGTTCTAAGTAAGAGCATCTGCAGATCAGCTGGCATTTGAAACAGCCAATGATGTAGGTATCGCCACTGTAGGACTTTATGTTGTTTATCTTATTTTCCTGTCTTATTTTGACTGTCTTATTCCTGTCTTATTCATGCTTTATGTCTGTTACTTTCCTAATATGTGATGCTTATTTTTCATCCATACTCCAAGCATTGATTAACTTCTTCAATATTAAACAATTTTCTGTTCTGATCAAGTCTTGGCAAATAACTGAGAAAAGCACCAATCACAGGCCACAGTTTTATGAAGTCATTATGTAAACTTACAAAGTATTTAAAAAATATATATATATAAGACATTAAAGTATTTCGGAACAAAATAAGAAGCCATTTTCATAACCCCCATCAAATACAAATTAAAATACGTATTTGTATCATAAATACTGCCCATCCCTGCTCACAACCAAATAGTATATGAGGATGGACTTTTAATTTTCAGTAACCCAGTTCAAGCACTCCTGATGCGGTTATAAAATTGCCACGATTAAGGTCTGTTTTCTTAAAAAAGTTAAAGATTTTCACTGATCTGCCTGATTGACGATATGTACTCTTTTAGAATATACAAGAAGCACTGCATTAAATTACATAGTTCTGTGCCATGTCTTTAAAATAGGATAATTTATTTTACCCCAGTATTTTCAGTAGAGATCTGCACCTGCCTGCTCCTGAGGGTTCTTGCGTTTAAACATGTTTACATCTCATTTTATACTTGTTGAACTACTAAATTAATGCTTAAATATATTTAAGTGATTATATTTTAATTACATTACAACATCCATGTTGTAAAAGGAACTTTATGAAAGTGAAAATAGTCACATTAACCTTTCATCTGAAGTTTATCAGTAGGGGGAAAAACACTAGTTGTGCATATAGCCAATAGGGGCAAGTTTAATAAGCTATTATAAATAATCTGTGATAAATTCTGAGCTGAAGCTTCACAGACTCATTCACACCATTTTACATCTTATTTTAAATGAGCATAATATGTCCCCTTAAAACAATACTTTGACATTGAGCAATATTGAGCAATATTTAGTTAAATGATTAAACAAATAAATAAATAAATAAAAAAAGCAAGCAATATAGTGGCTATTTTAGATGGCACTAAATCCACAGTGATGACCGGCTTTATCTTGCACTACCAGGCTTCACACAAAGGGTGTGGACACCAGTGCTTCTCAGCAAGACTCCGAGCACAGCTGACAGTGAATCTGCAGATCTGAGGTGCTGGGTGGAGATTGGGGGGTGGGGGGAAAGGTAAATAATTCATGATGTAAAAAAAGAGAGAGGGTGAGATTTAGAATCAGGCACGAGACAGACACATTAGCCAGGCCTGATGCAGAGCGTTTGATGTGCACATGTTTGTGTTTAGTAAGCAGTAGCCGCCCTGATGAACGTAAATTAAGAATCGTAATTACTGCTGCTCTGCATATGGGACGTGTTTGGAAAGTTCTGTCAATATAGAAGTTTATTCTGTTAAATTACATCTATAGCATAAACTATTTTAAATATCAACTATTTATGAAAAATATAGTGATAGAACATACCAATTATTATATTTTAATACGTTTATTATTATTGTTGTTGTTGTTAACTATAGCTTTTTTGTTAATTGAATTTAAGCTGGCATATAAATAGAACAACATTTTTAAAGTTCAAAAACAGAAATTTTGAGAATGAGAATTGTTGTTTTGACAACTAAAGTCAATAATAATAATAATAACAATAAGTAGTAGTAGTAGTAGAAAATATAAAATTAAATTGTAAAAAAGCACACAAAAACACTAAATTAAATGATTTGGGGGACTTTAAAGTTCTTAGAGCTAAATATGGGTGTGTATGGCTTAATAACAAAAACAGACACAATCATGAATGTATTGATAAAATTCACACTTCATTTGCAGACTTTCAAGCCCACTGTGCAACAAAACAAATCAGCAGATAAATAACCCACATGCTGTAGTCAAAAGTGTCTAATATATATTATTTAGGTTGAGAACCAATTAAAATGGCAAATTAAAAATTTTAAGAATATTTCACAATATTACTTGTATTTATTTTGTAATTATAGTAAATACAACCTTAACAAGCATATTTTTACATAAAATCTTGAACTTGATCATTTAAGTATATATATATATATATATATATATATATATATATATATATATATATATATATATATATATATATATATATATATATAAAATACCTCATTTTCTTTCCTTCATCCAATCATAAAAAATTTACAAAACCTCTATTTATGCCATAAACTAATCATACAACATTAATTTGAAGCTGAAAACACAAAACTTCAACTTTTTATTATTTAGTATCGTCATTTTTAAATGTGCCATTACATTTGTTGTTAAAGGATGGAAACTAAGAAGCAAACCACAAGATGACTGCTCAAGTGGTCAGAATGACCATTTTCATCGACAAAAGCAGAAACTTGTCTCGGGACAGGGAGGGGTGGCCACTGACCACAGACAGGCCGTGTCTTGCAAACAGATGCTCTCTAGACAATAGATCTGGAGAACAGAGAATTATATTATGAAACACAAACACATCAACTGTAAAAAGAATCAAAGTGAGCGCATCATTCCTAAATCAAACCAGTTCAAGCTTTCAGATTGCCATAAATATATATAATTGAAACAAAATATTAAAAACAATTGAACACCGAAAGAGTATGGGGTTATTAAACTGCTTTGGATGTGCTAAACTGAGCGAGGCAGGCAAAAATGCAGTTTTTATTTCATCCCCAGTTTTTCATAAGTGATTTTTCATTCAATAAAAATGCAGTTTATAGATTTGTGTCTGTAAATTGTAGTTATAAAATATATATATATATATATATATATATAACAATATATGATAACACATAATAAAAGACTCCCAAAATCATCAAATCTAATATGAAAAAACTTACTTCCACCAATGTTAAGATTTTTGTGCTAGAGATGTATGCAAATAAATGCATATTTAATTAAATCTGAGTCTGTCAAATAAAGGATGTTTTTAAATGCCCGATTACAAATGACAATCTACAATGAATTGTGAAAATGTTCTGAAACAAATCTGAACCTGGCTTTATCTAATATGAAGATTTATGCAGATTTATGCATATTTAATTGCATATAGGATCATTTGCATATTTAAACATTTTAGAAAGCTTGAAATACCAACATTTTTCCAATTCTTACTGTAATCAGTCAATGTGGAGAGTATGGTGATAAATATACATTAGCACAACTGCTAAACGAACATTGACTATTACTGAGCTTTTACTAATGCAGCATCAGAAATTGTTTTGAATTTAACTTTAGACTTTGAGCCAAATCTTTCCCTGAGAATAGATAAAAATGTTGCAAACAGGATAAGGCTGTCCTTCCTAATCTGTGCTGTTTTCTGAGTTATTGAAATAACAGCTGAGCCTTCACACAAACAAACCAGGACAATAGAGCTTCAACTTCCAGCATGACATGGTTTAAATTAAGTAAAATCACTGAGCTGTATAAAATGATGTTCTCTATATAGATCAGCGAGTAAAATCTATCCATCTATCCAAAAACATAAAAGAGCACCTGGAGATTTTCTTTAATTTACAATTTATAGTATTATAACAAATCATTTTTTTATATATTCTGACTGATTTGCTATTTAAAATAAAGTGATTTAGAGCAAGGGGTGGCATATTGTCTCACAGCAAAAAGGTCGATGATTCGAGTTCTGGCTTGTGTGGAGTTTGCACGTTCTCCCTGTGGTTCTTTTTTTATTGTTTATTTATTTTTTAAATAACAAATATATGTGATGTTTTCATATGTCTATAATCATATAGACAATAATACAGTAGACATGGACAATATAAATAACATCCAAAATTGTGATAATACAATGACCAATATCCGGGGGCGGATTCAACCAATAAGCGAAATGAGAAGCCGAGGAAATTTGGAGGCCCCCAAATCACTAAAACCGCCCTTGCCAATACCAATGTTTTAACATCAGAAGATTTAAGAAGTTTTTTTTATTCATAGTTCATTCATAAGGCAGTTCATTTTGACTGCCTTTGTTTGAAAAATGTTATGACAATACTATTTTTTATTTCGAATAATTATTTGAAAAAATTAGCCTATTATCACACCTTCATAGAATAAAATATATATTGGCATTTTACTCAACCACATGCCTAATAAGAACAGTAATCCTGAGAAACTCTGAGAGTTTTCCCATGTCTATACAAGAATTCATAAGAAATACTACTGAGTTTCATTCATTCATTTTCTTTTCGGCTAGTCCCTTTATTAATTAGGGATTGTCACAGCGGAATGAACCACTAACTTATCCATCAAATGTTTTATGCAGTGGATGCCCTTACAGCTGCACTGGGAAACACCCATACACTCTCATTCACACACACACTACGGATGCTTACCCAATTCACCTATCGTCTTTCAACTGTGGGGGAAACCAGAGCACCCAGAGGAAACCATGCCAACATGGGGAGAACATGCAAACTCCACACAGAAATGCCAACTGAGGCTCGAACCAGTGACCTTCTTACTGTGAGGCGACAGCGCTACTCACTGCGCCACCAATTACTGAATTTATAAATGATATTGCTTGACAATAAAACATTTACAATTTAATAATATTTAGCAGCTTAAAACATGTCCATGATAGATAGATAGATAGATAGATAGATAGATAGATAGATAGATAGATAGATAGATAGATAGATAGATAGATAGATAGATAGATAGATAGATAGCTCTTACGTCTTGCCACAGCAGATAGATAGATAGATAGATAGATAGATAGATAGCTCTTACGTCTTGCCACAACATATATCACATGAAGATATCAGAAATCATCAAGTATTAACCTACATGGTCCTGAGAAACGATCGTGAGCGCGCGTCGTGCCCCCGCGGTGAGCGGAATGGAAAAGTTAGTGTGGAGAAAGAGAGAGAGAGAGAGAGAGTGAGAGTGTGTGGAGAGAGAGAGAGCGAGCCGGATCTCCGTCGCCATTACTGCCTGGAATGAGAGGGGAGGGGATGACTCTCCGGTTACACGCATACCACTCTTACTGCTGAAAAACACACAAAACAAACACTTTCGTGGATTTTCGACCATTAACCCAACAATTTTCTGTAAACTCGACCAAACTGGAATTAGTTTTGGGATCGCATCCGTGGAAATTAAAGGAAATAGTTGGAATGCCACCTCCTGTCTGTGGTGTCGGGAGCTGGGAGCGACCATGTTAGGTAGGGGAATGCACACGAAGTATGTGACTTTCTAGCGTGCTTTTGATCGACTGTTTCAGTAAATTTGAGCACATGTGTGATTTACATCCACGAGTAAGCGATAGTTGTGTAAACGCGCAGATTTGTCTGTCGCGCCTGCGGTGCGTTGTGTCGGTGTCACACTTAACTAGCTCGGGCTAACTGGGAAGCTAGCAAGCAAAGGAAGCATCTAATGCCTGGTTACAGGCAAGGCCCTTGTCGATGCGAATAAAACATGACCAAATTAACACATTCCAATCAAAGCTGAGTCGCCGTGTTATTTAACACAACAAGCGCATGCGTGTATTTAATTAAAACTATTCTAATATGAATTTCAGTTCCAGGGCTTTAAAAGCAGTGTGCGCTTTGGATGTGTTTTAAAGTCAAAATAAAACACAAACTCTTGCTAATTTGAAATCTAGTTGTCATAGCGAATAAATCTCGACTATTTGTGTGAGTCGTGGCGTGCTCATCTGACCGCGACTCCCCCGTTTAACAATAGCGCTGCTGCTTCGGGATTCCTTCTCACCTTCAGCAGATGCTTCTGTCTGCTTCACATCCTCGCTTGAGAAATACAGCCCGCCGTCATTAAGAAACAGGTCTCGACGTTGATGTCCGGCGTTCCCGTGATTTAATGCACGCGAGCTTCCGTCGTTGATGTGCCATAAACGCGGCTCTTATTTACGATATTGTCAACACAAAGGGTTTATTCGGCCGAAACGAAATATATGTCATCATTTACCTGCTTGATGTCTCCCACTGACATCATAGGAAAACAGTAAATAGTCCAGGGCTGAGAAGTATTTTAGACGTTCTAATTAATAAAACCCTGAAAGCCATTGACATTGCTAAAGTGAAAACGCTGTTTTGATATATTTCATCTGTTAGGTATTGATCTTGTGAGTCGTGAATCGATTTCTGAGCTGATTGATCTTTTGAGTCGGTTCTTTTGCAATGAATTAGTCAAACCTATTCACAAATGCTATCACGGAGACATTAGAAAACCTGTGAATTGCAGTGTCCTTTAAAAGTCCTTACCAAGTAATAATAAATGACATGGGAGTTCATTGGTCAAAATACTGAATGATTTTCTGTGAAACACAGAATGAAAACCTCAGTTATCCCTCACTTCCTGTATATGGAAAACAGATGCAATGACTCAGGCTGTCATTCTGTCTAATATATATGCCTTTGTGTTTCACAGAAGAAAAAAGTTATGCTGGTTTGGAATGACACGAGAATGAGTAAATGATATCATTTCCTCAAATGTTAATGTTTGAAAGAAAGTGAGATGTATCAAGCTTAACTATGAGTGTTTGTATTTATACTGTGTCATAGGGCTGCACGGTATTGGAAAAATTACACGTTGCTATATTTATTTATTCTGCGATATATATTGCGATAGAGTTGAAAAACTGTTTAGAAATTTTTTTTATAATTTTAGATTGATCAGGATGATTCTGTTGGGAAGTGCATGAAATATAACAAACAATCTACAAGCATAGATAGCCTAGATTCAATAAAGAAAAAGATACAAATTAAATAAACAGCGTTTCATTGTTTTCAAAGGTGTTGCACTGTATTCAAGTATACAGTAATTGAATAGTCAAATGTAAGTCTTAATTTTTTTTATCAATTGAATAAAGTTAATCGTCATTAATTTTTCAAAGTAACAGATGGTACATTTTCTTATGTCTCAATGCTTTTAAAATCTTCAAACAGTCACAGGCCTCAAAAACACTTGCAAAATGATCAGTTATAATCCAGACTTAACTAGGCATGGGGCGATAACCGTTTTTAAGCTATACCGCAGTTTGGAAAAGTCAAGGTTTTAAATCCGCGAATATTTTCTGTAATATGTTTCTTAAGGTATTGTAAAGAAATCTGTGGTTTTGAAACAAAAGATAACAGCAGAAGTCAAAGATTCATTCAAAATTTTTAGTCTTGAAAGTTTACTGTTCCAAAATATTATTAATCTTTCAAAAAATAAAATATATTGTTTTCAAATGGGAAATTAGTTTTTTACCCAGCCATTTAAAAAGTATATCTTTTACAGCAGTAATCAAAATACTGTGATATTTTTTATCCAAGGTTATCATACCGTCAGATTCTTAGAACCGGCCCATGCCTAGACTCAACATTGCGTTTACAAATGCATATATTGCGAATGATCACACTGATATTGATGCTGAATCGATATATTGTGCAGCCTTACTGTGTCGTTTCTAAAATATTTTTTGCTGTTTTTTTTATCATGTTCAGAATGCTTTGCAAATCAGATGAATTGTTGCCTTATTTCTAGTACAAGCAATACAATGTATTAATCAAAATAGCATACCTTACATACCTTTAAAAAGGAATGAAAAGTGAATGAACCTAAGCACGTTGTCAGTACTTCAACAGTACTTATAACATGTAAGTCATTGAGTTAGTTGAACAGTCTTGTTTTAGTAGCTGGAATTATTGCTGATCATTGTGAAATTCTGAACAATGGTTGGAAAATATTGAAATTGGGGATGCTCCGTTCAGGATTTTTTTGCAGCCGATACAGATTACCGATTCTGATGCTTTAAGCTCAATAATGCATAAAGCACATTTTTAGATATGCTACTTAAGATCTCTCTTTACCTTAGAGAATATAGGAAAGATGTTACATATAATCCCCTAAACATGTCTCTTATAAGCATCTAGTGTGAACATGTCATGGTCAGAAGCAGCTTTACAGAAAGTAATATTAAACAAATTAAAAAATGGTAAGAACAACGAGCAATAATGCAATTTGGAAACATTGCAAATAATGAAAGAACAATTCAACAAGTCTCAAAAAAAAAGTTTGAAGTGCATATTTGATATATAAGAAGGTAAAGTGCACACACATATATCCATTATTTCTTTACTAAAAGTAAGTAGGCCTATGAATTACAAAAAAATTTGTATATGTTTTACCTGCTCACGTGTTTTAGCGATGCTGATGTGTAATATGCAGGTGAGCACCTGTGTCTTCCTCTGCTTGTGAACTCGTAAACAAACACTGGCGATCGGTTTATGAGATAGTCCAGGTTCATAAGTACTGATCGAGTCATAAAAGAGGATTCTCTGGCCGATTGATCGGAGCATCCCTACTGAAAATGTTATCCAGGTGTGACAGCCTTGGTAATGTTGTTACAATTATGCCTATCACTGCCATTGTCGACTTTTCAGATATCAGTAATGATGTATACATTTCTACTTTTCTTATTGTGTAAATGTTATAAAAATCAAGAATAATAAATGATTAGTGTTTGGAAGCTTTGTGCTTGATGTCATTGTTGACTAATTCAATATTTTTGTATTGCAGGAAGGTGATAAGAGGACAAAAAAAGGAGTCATTCGGGACAGATGATCTAAATCAAAGCTACATCGGCTTTTTCAAAAGTGAGACATGAAAATGTGCCTGCACTAACAAATGGAAGTACGTGCTTGCCTTGCCGGCATACTTCGCTTAGCATAACAAGCAATGAGAGGGGCAATATAATGGCCAAGAATAAGGAGACCCGTCCGACATATGCTGTCAGTGTCGTCGGGCTCTCAGGCACTGAAAAGGAAAAAGGTAACTGTGGTGTAGGTAAATCCTGCCTATGCAACAGATATGTGCGCCCCAGCGCGGACTGCTACTACTTAGAGCACACTTCTGTGTTGAGCACAATTGACTTTGGAGGGCGTGTAGTGAATAATGATCACTTCTTGTACTGGGGTGAAGTGTTGCATCGAGGGGATGATGGTGTCGAGTGTAGGATTCAGGTCATCGAGCAGACAGAGTTCATTGATGATCAGACCTTCTTGCCTCATCGGAGCACAAACTTGCAGCCTTACACAAAACGGGCGGCGAATACGAAGCTTCAGTCTGCTGAGAAGCTGATGTACATTTGCACAGACCAACTTGGGTTGGAACAGGATTTTGATCAGAAGCAGATGCCCGATGGCAAGCTTAACATTGATGGCTTTGTATTGTGTATAGACATAAGCAAAGGATGCAATAGAAAATTTGACGATCAGATGAAATTTGTCCACAGTCTTTATTCTCAAATTTCCAAGGCTAAAAAGCCTATTATCATTGCTGCAACAAAATGTGACGAGTGTGTTGAGCAATACCTAAGGGAGGTCCAGACGTTTGTTACAGGTAAGAAGAATCTAATGTTGGTGGAAACATCTGCACGAGCATCTGTGAATGTGGAACTCTGTTTCAATGCTCTGACACAGCAAATAGACAAAACCAGAGGTAAACCCAAAATCATCTCTTATTTGGAAGCGTACAAATCCCAGAGACAATTAGTAGCTTCAGTCTCAGACAAGTTTGAAAAGCTCATCGTTCAAACTGTCCGAGATTATCACACAAGCTGGAAAATTGTGAGCAATAAGTTAAAAAGCCACCCAGATTATGAGGAGTACATCAATTTAGAAGGCACCAAAAAGGCCCGAAACACTTTTTCAAAGCACATAGAGCAGCTGAGACAAGAGCATATCAAGAGGCGGCGTGAGGATTATCTTACCAGCCTGCCAAAAATTTTTAATAAGTTGCTTAACAACCTGGAGGAAATTGAGACGATGAGTTGGACTGAGGCTCAGAGCCTTATGAGGAGCAGGCATGAATTTCAATACTGTTTCATTGAGTTAGAGCACACGCCGTGGTATGAGACAGACCACCTTGATAAAACCGACGACAGAAGAGTGCCCTTCGATATCCTCCAAACCATGCAAGGAGAGAGGATTTATCAAAACCATGTCCAGCATTTGATATCTGAGAAGAGGCGGCTGGAGATGAAGGAGAAATTTAAGAAGACGCTGGAGCGAGTGCATTTCATTAGCCCTGGCCAACCGTGGGAAGAGGTCATGTGCTTTGTCATGGAGGATGAGGCGTACAAGTACATCACTGAATCAGATCGCAGAGATGTTTACAGTCGGCATCAGCAGGAAATAGTTGAAAGGGCCAAAGAGGAGTTTCAGGAAATGCTTTTTGAACACGCAGAGCTGTTCTATGACCTCGATCTAAATGCAACCCCGAGCTATGACAAAATGAGCGAGATTCATGCCGTACTTAATGAGGAGCCAAGATACAGGGCTCTCCAAAAACTAGCCACAGACAGGGAGTCCCTTTTGCTGAAACACATTGGGTTTGTCTATCACCCCACAAAAGAAACATGCCTCAGTGGCACGGCCTGCATCGATCTCAAAGTAGAGCAAGTCCTGGCCAACCGTCTAGTTCAGCTGGATCACGGCCGCTCAAATATCTACTACAACAGTGCCAACATTGAGAAGGTTAACTTATGTCTTGTGGGTAGAGAAGGACTGGCACAGGAGCTTGCAAATGAAATCCGAGCTCAGTCCACTGATGATGAATACACTCTTGATGGGAAAATATATGAATTAGACCTTTTGCCTGTGGATGTCAATTCCGGCATGCTTTTGAACCATTCCTGGATATCGACTTTCAAGCCCCATGGGTTCTTTTGTGTCTTCAGCTCTATAGAGTCGCTTAATTACATTGGTGACCGCGTAAGCCGGATCCGAGCAGAGATTGCCCAGAGCAGAAGGGATAGGTATAGCCAGCCAGTGCCATTCATTCTCATTCTAGCAAATCAGCGTGACAGTGTTTGCAAAAACATGCCTATTTTGAGGCATCAGGGCCAACAGCTTGCAAATAAGCTACAGTGTACTTTTGTAGATATACCCACCGGCACTTTTCCCAGGAAGTTTAATGAGTCTCAGATAAAACAGGCCCTCAGAGCTGTGCTGGAGGGATTGAAGCACAATTTCGACATGATGAGCCCCATGCCCTCCATCAAGGATCTGTCTGAGACGGATTTGCGGATTGTCATGTGTGCCATGTGTGGAGACCCGTTCAGCGTGGATCTCATTCTCTCACCATTCCTGGACTCCCATTCCTGTAGTGCCGGACAGCCCGGGCAGTGCAACACATTGATCCTTGACAAAATCATCGGCAACGGCCGCAGGCGCATACAGGTCACGGTGCTCTCTTACCACTCCTCCATTGGAATCAGAAAGGATGAATTGGTGCATGGGTACATTCTAGTTTACTCAGCAAAAAGAAAGTCTTCCATGGCTATGCTGAGGGCGTTCCTGGCGGAAGTCCAGGATGTCATTCCAGTTCAGCTGGTGGCCATTACGGACAGCCAAGCAGACTTTTTTGAGAATGAGGCGATAAAAGAACTGATGACTGAAGGGGAGCACATTGCCACTGAAATTGCTGCTAAGTTTACAGCTCTCTACTCCTTGTCCCAGTATCACAGGCAGACTGAAGTTTTCACACCGTTTTTTAATGAGGTTCTTGAGAAGAAGAGCAACATAGAAAGCTCCTTCATGTTCGACAACAGCAGGGACGGAACTGGCACCACCGAAGATGTCTTCCCGCAGTCACCCCATAGCCATTCGCCCGCTTACCAATACTACCCTGACTCTGAGGATGATGGAGAGGGGCCACCACCCTACAGCCCGATAGGAGATGATGTGCAGCTCCTGCCCAATCCTAGTGAACGGAAATACAGGATTGACCTTGAAGGAAATGAGTACCCAATTCACAGCACACCTGTTGGAGAACACGAGCGTAACCACAAAGTGCCTCCCCCGGTAAAACCCAAGCCCAATGTGCTGCCCAAACCCAATGTTAAGAAGCTGGACCCCAACCTTCTGAGGACCATCGAGGCTGGAATGAGGACCTCCAGGTGGACACGAGGTCCAATGATGGGTCACAGTGATGACCTTGAAGCATCTGACAACTATGCAGAGCCAGCAGACACTCTCCAACACAAATCAAAAGGCTACAGCGATGATATTTATGCTGTACCAGAAGATGCACACAGCAGATCTGGCAAGACCCGCAACTCTTTCGGCGGACTAGTTGTGCATGTGGATGAGGAGAACGGCTTTGATTCCATGTCTAAGTCTCAGGGTGGCAGAAGGCCTTCTAAGTATAAACATCGTTCCAAGATCCTCTTCAGCAAGACAAAAGCTTATCATAGACGAGTGCACTCTGATGTCAGTGATGATGAGTCGGGGCCTGCCACACAGAAGAAGAAGAAAGGAAGGGGCAACCGAGGCAGTGAAGAAGACCCGCTTCTCTCACCAGTGGATCCTTGGAAAGGAGGGATAGATAATCCAGCCATCACATCGGACCCAGAGCAGGATGAAAGGAAAACGAAGAAAAAGAAAGCACCAAAGACCAAGGAACCCAAAAAGGTGATTTACTGCTTTTTGCATGTCTATTCAGTTTAATATCTTTTACACTTATTTTTCACATGTACAGTCAATTATATCTTAAGACTGAAAGTTTAATGAATAGATTTCATTTTAGATAATAATAATACATTTTTAAGTATTTAATAATGTTTATTTTTTTCCATATATATTTTTTACAGTTAATCTACCATTGCTGACATTTAAACCTTAGTTTGAGTAAATCTTTAAAACAGTAGTACTTTAACATAGTGTTAAAATCTGAAAATGAATGTCATTTTCTCATACATAATTTAAAACCATCCTCTTGTAATTTGTCAATTTTAATATTTATACAGTCTTCAAAATATATTATTTCTACATTCTAATGAAGAAAATAATTAAAGAGCACAATTATAAATTCTGACATTTAATTTCCAAATTACAAATGTTTTTTTAAACGAAATGAAATGTGATTTTTATAATCGATATGTCATCTTTTCTTAGCCCACAAGGTCAACAAAGACCACAAAGCCATTGTACCCACCAACTCGAAGAAATTGGGAGAGCAACTATTTTGGGGTGCCTCTACAAAACTTGGTCACTCCTGATAGACCCATACCTTTATTCGTTGAGAAGTGTGTTGACTACATAGAGCGAACAGGTATGTTTGCTTATTCTTTATAAAGCTGATCACTTGAGCTCTATCTGAAAAGGCAAATGCTGTTTGTCATTTCTCCAGTGAATGGCTATTTCTTTGGCTAGTTTGTCAGCAATAAGTCATTATTGCGCATTGTTTTTTTTGTTCACTGAATTTTCCATGTAGTCAACAATTGTAGCAAGGCAATTGTACCACTGAAATTCTATATTTATCCATTTAACGTTGCATATTTTGTGAGGGAAATTCTGTATGCAGTTCAGATACCATCAATGAGAAAATGAAAGAAATGAATAATGTAATAAATAATGACAAAACAGGAAGTTGACAGGCAGGGGAGGAGGAAAGTCCGTCTGGTGAATGATTGAATGGATTTTAATGACACGTGTTATGATGATCTAATTTTTCCCAGAGCTCCTTGCTCTGTTTGATTGTGGTTTGCTTTTACATGGACTCCATGAATGAGATGTAAACACTGAGGCCCAAGCATATATCATCGCCAGGGGTGTCTTAACGTTATTTCAGGACATGCTGACCATATTTGGACTAGGACAAAGTCCACTTCATATACTTAAAGCACTGATAGGGCTCTTTAACTGTGACAGTTTGTTTGGTTACAACGTGCCCTTCACTACCTTGTTCAGTAACTGTGTTCAATGGAAACTCTGACTAACACTGCTGTCAATAAACCCAGCTGACCTATAATATAGCTTGAGGTTTCATTAGAGAGTAGATGACACCCACATACTGCCGTTCAGGTTGGCTGTGGCTGTACATGAGTGAAACTCATGCATGGATGAAACCCATTGATGTGGTTTCTGAAGGAAATTATTAAGCTGCTGTTTGTGGTTTTTATGGTGTGTACTGGAAGTGGGCAAAGTGTCTGTGGTGAGCATAATACTTAGCCAATTTGCTTGTTGAACTGGTTCTTCTTTGTGGTGATGCGGCTGGAGTGCTCATTCATGAAGCCTATACGTGATCATCCGAAACTTCTGTTTTGCTGATCTCATAGTCACACGTAGTGCTGTGTGCACAGTTAATGTGCAGGACGATTGATTTATGTCGCTGAGTGGCTTGACTCTTTTGTGACATACAGGTTTGTGGAGCATAGCGAAGCATTTAGCATTGCCTAGCTATTTGTACCTTATTGAGAGCTTGATATTAAAAAAAGATTTTTTATTTATAATTGATTTTGAGTTCTACACAATTTTATCTTTTATCTCTAAATGATGACATCAGAAAACAACTATTCATAATTATAAAATTGATTTATTATGTTTGAGACATGTTCTTTTCATTTGTCATTGACAACATTATTAGACCATTATATTTCCATTATATATAGGCTAGGGTTGTTAAACTGAGTAAACATTTATTTTCATGCACAACACTTTGTGTTCGCTATGAAAGAAAAAACATATCAAATGCTTGTTGTAATCATAACTCTAAAATGCGATATGATCATTTAAATGATGTGCGCACAGGTTTCACTTTCACTTCCTAGTGCGGCTCATGGCTATGGAAGGTAAATCCACCAATTTTAAATAAATCAAATAAAAAATGGAAATTAAAATGAAAATCAGATTAACAATTTCATTTTAAAACACTGTTCGCAAAATATCGGCCAAAGTTGAAAACGAAATTAAATTATTTCATTTTCATTTTCACTTTGACAACACATCGTCCCTGTCAAATTGATAATTAAAATGAAGTTGCCGATTTAACATTACATTTTCACTGCATTTCCACGTCAAGACTGTCAATATTAAAATAAAAAGCCAAACTGAAAAATAAAATGCAACACAATTTTTACAAAGCGTGTTATTAATATTCACGCTATAATAGTGACAATTTAAATTAAAATTTAAATGTAAGCTTTCCTTTTACTGACACTTTTTCATTTCAATTTTCATTTTCGATTTCATTTTCAACCTCAACCTGTATGCAAAGCCTATGCTAATCAGTGGGAGGGGCGTATTGTAATTTGCAGATGATCCCTAACACTGCGTGCATGACTGCCTGGCCGCGAATTTAAAACCTAAAACCAACTTTACCAAGCTAATTTAGCTGTCTTTCAAAGATTTTAGTACTAACAAGTTGTTAACGTCACAAGACCTAATACATTATACTATACAACTTCATCACAAGGCCTACCGCACTTACGCTGCAGTTTCTCTACCCATTGAGGAAGCCAGCGACTCTTGCTGTGGGACGAATGTTTGATGTTTGGTTCTCCTGTGTCCCCTGTTCCTCTTGCTTGACCAATGGAGCAGCTGCTTCATGTAAAAGCTGACTAACAGTTTTTGCCATTTTACTTCTGTTATACTGTATATACACTCGTAACTCACGCTGTCCCATCCATTAAAACCGTGCTTCTGCCCTCGGGCTTTGTGAAAGCACTCGACGTCACTTGAAAACGCCCCTACCATTGATTAGCATAGGCTTTGCATACAGGTTGAGGTTGAAAATGAAATCGAAAATGAAAACTGAAATGAAAAAGTGTCAATAAAAGGAAAGCTTAAATTTACATTTTAATTTACATTGTGTCACTATTATAGCCTGAATATTAATAACACGCTTTGTAAAAATTGTGTTGCATTTTATTTTTCAGTTTGGCTTTTTATTTTAATATTGACAGTCTTGACGTGGAAATGCAGTGAAAATGCAATGTTAAATCGGCAATGAAAATGCAATGTTAAATCGGCGACTTTAATTATCAATTTGACAGGGACGACGTGTTGTCAGTTAAAATGAAAAAAAAATTACATTTCATTTTGTTTTCAATTTTGGCAGATATTTTGCGAACAGTGTTTTAGAATGAAATTGTTAATCTGATTTTCATTTTAATTTCCGTTTTTTATTTCATTTATTTAAAGTTCGCAGGATTTACCTTCCATACACGGATGCCGTCACTGTGACAAAAAAAAACATACATTTAAATCAAACCTCCTGCACGGCCCTCAAACGATCGCTCTGTGCAACAAACGGAACGCTATTTACAACTTTATTACCTGTTATTTACAGCCTATGCAGGTTGTGTACACTAAAGTAGGCGTCATTTGTGTGCACGCACGCGTTCTCGGCAGTAAACAAACGTGGGAATTCGCGACCATGAATACCTTATTACATGAAGACAGAAATTACACTTTAGATGAATTATACCTTATAAATACAGTATGTGACACTTTTAACCCCATTTGAAGGTGTCAATGTTGCTGTGAACACTTCTGCGGCCGCCTTTTCTTCTCTTCTGACCTTGAAAATATCATTGGCTGAATCGTAGAAAAACCTGAATTAGGATCGTGTGTAGGGTCGAATTGAGATTGTGATCTTTTTTCGATTAATCGTGCAGCCCTCTATATAAATATATATCATAAATACTATTTATCATATCATAATATTTATCATATTCAAGTTGTCCTTTTGAATCAACCCGTTTGTATTGACCTTGGTTAAATCTGGGCCTTTTTTTTTTGGGTTCTTCTGGAGTACATTGAGATGGCACAATGTGCCCATGGCTGCGTCTGAGCATCGCAGGGCTCTATTTAAGAGGTTTTTGAAAGCATCTTGCCTCAAAGAGCCGCACAGATGAAAAGGTTCATCAAACACCCAGCCCCCCAAGCCAAATGCTCACTCCCTCCCATTTATGCCCCTCTATCTCACTCCGTGCTGCATTGTGAAACCCAGAGGAAATGATAATACTTGACTCTATTTTTTTTCTGTGGTCAAGAACAAGTATTCCAGCAATCCTCTCCTCCAAACATGGTGTGTGAACACACAGAGTCCTTTATTTCTCCGGGCCCATCCATTCTGAAAACCAAGAGCCTGTGGCATTAAAAACTGTACAGAGAAAATGGACTTTATGGATGTTTCCTAATTGACTTTCATGGCTCATTTAGGCCTGGATGCTTCATTTATCCATCAGAAGAGTACCCCCATTGTCATTTCCTCCTTGCAGGGCTTTGCAGTAATAACCTTCTTCTGTGAGAACTGTTATGGATATTTAGATATTTATATGAGACACCAACTATGAAACAAACCGTGAACTTTACATTATGATGAGAAAAACAGTATTCCCAGCAGATATTTCCAGGGCTCAACCATGTCCATTATTAGGCCTACAGGAGTGACTTTACTGAGCTGACCACAGTGTGCTATCTTTGTGTTTCGCACTGACACACTTTGACAATTTTAGAAATGTCGCAACAAATAGAATGCAAATTAGGTGCGCTTTAGTCGACTTGATGTGTTCCCTGCGGGTGCAGCAGAGCGTTAAACAGCTCTGTGGAGAGGAGGTAATTTACAAACAGTCCATTCTTGCTTAATTTTGCATGTTGGAATTGTTTAAAATGGTTGTGCAATACAGCTGGAACATTATGTGACTATTTATACAACAAAGCACTTCCTAAGAATGTTGAGCTTAAATATTCAAATTATTTTAAGTATTTTCCATAAATGTTTTTGTCAAAATTTCAGTAAATGTCAAGAAATAACAATAAATAAATAAATTGCTTAATATTTCAAATTCAAATAGTTGGCATATTTACACATTCCATTTAGTTAATCAATAATGTTGTATTAGTTAGATAACACTTGTAATGTTTCAATGTTGATCACTGTAATTGGAATTTTAGTATTAATATTTAGCCAAGTTGAGATGATGGACAAATTATTTTTATAACAAAGCATTTTCTACAAGCATATTAATATAAGTTACATTAATATTGATCTAGAGTTGTGATATTAACTGTTTATAAGCTAAAAATATGCTGTATGGAATCAAAATGTCAATCTTTAGCTAAATAAATTTGAGATACTTTTAATCAAAGCATTTGTTAAAACTAAATTAAAATATAAATATTTGTATATTAATATTTGACTAATTGTTGTCGAATATTGAATAAACTACAAAGTAATTTCTATAAGTATGTCTTTATTAGTTTATCATTTCAATATACAACTGATTGACAATATTTAACAAAACATTTTCCAAAATATTGGGATAT